TATCTTATCACCCTAACTGACTTGTTACTTCCAGGCAGAGCTACTGAGTATTGTACCAGGTGTAACTTTGATTGTTCAAAGGATTATTATGAAATTAATTTATTGCTGCAAATGTACAATGCTGGAAAAGACTGTAGATGGGAATATTAGGTTGCTCTGCTGTTTCTTCCCTGCTGGAAGCAAGCTGAGTCTTAAAGAATCTGGTTGCTTTACCAGCCAGCCTGTTTCTGCCTCAAAGCTTTTTCCCCTATCAGTGAGCATTATCTGAGTTTTGCTTAGAACATTTACAAGTCAGGATCTTTCCCCTTGCCCCTTTTGAACAGTCACAGAAATATGTTTATGGATAATAAACAATTCTGATTTAAAATGAAGCACTCATCTTTATCACTTTAGCTTGCCTAAGTAATCTTCACGATGAATTTCATTTGCAGTTCACTATCGACTTAATTTAGTTGCAATTAAAGGTTGTCAAATCTGTAATTTAAGCCCTTCAATATTTGTTGTTGTCACTCTTTTCCTGTAATATATTATTTTTTCAGTGGGTCTGATCCAAAGACCACATAAGCCAATAGGAGAATTTCTACCAACTTCAATGAGCTTTGAATAAAGCCTCATATGCCATGGTATGTGAGGACATTTTATCTAAATAAGTACGTGTAATTAAAAGATTACTAAAGTTTTCATTATCTGAAAATTGTTTGGATTATAAAATGAGTTTGGTCTTATAGTAGCAGCCTTAGGTAATTGAGGATGTTTAGAAAAAAACCCAAACAACAACAAAAATCCCACTGATATTAGTTGCTGTGGTTACAATTCCTTTTCTGCTTGCGGTAGCAATACTGGACTAAAACTTGCTACAATATCTACTTTTAATTAAAATCACAGGAATATAATGTACACACCCCAGGGCACATGGGCTGAGGGAGATGATGTGAGCAAGTCATGATAATAAAATTCCCTTAGGATCATTGAATTCAATGTGAACCACAAATCACAAGATCAGCTCCAAAAACTGTGTCACTGGAAGAAAATGTTGCTAGTACTTGATATGGAATGAGTGTTCTTTTTGCTATAAATTCACATTTTCCTGTGGTAATTTTCCCTTCCCCTTCTGAGTCTTCTGCCATGTTTCTTATCAGGTGACCAGAGTTCACCTAGGAAGGATGAACTCACTGTCTCCGTCAAACTTCTCTACATCAGCATCTTTATCGGCTCCTGGTGACTCAGTGTAAGCTTTAGTACTCAGTAACACTACTGGGAAAGAAATGAATGCAATTCATCCCACCAGATTAGGGATTCTGCTAACTATTAAGATTGGAGAAGAGTTGAGAAATCCCTTTGAAATAATTTGCAGTATTCGTTTCTTCTTTTTTTTTTTCTGAAGCTCTTTAACACTTGAGCAGAGGCTACCTTCATATACATTTATTAATAGAGTAAAAGATCCATTCAGTCATACATAAAATGACATCTGGAAAGAATGCAACAGAATGCACTCTTCCCATTTTGAACAACATAACTAATGCTCACTACTGCTCATGCTTTTCTATCTCCATTTTAATTCTTGCAGTAGAATACTGTTTTGTGCTGTAAAAACAGTTCTGAACATGATGTGATTAACCTTAGGGTCCCCCCATCCCCTCATCTCAAAGCTCCCTCCTACATGGCCTATGCTTTCTATTCGTGTTCAACCATCTGATTTCCATATCATCCTGCTCAGCCTCACAAACGGCTATTAGCATAACAGAGCTTTAGTGTGACATTGATTGAAACCAGTGCTTGCTGAATGCAGTATCAAAGCATAATTTGCCAGAAATCAAATCTAATTTATTGTGTACTATTTAAATTTCTCAAAAAAAAAAGGAAAAAAGGTTTCAATAGAAGTATACTAGGTCTGTAGTCTTAATTGTTCTTTTTTCATATTTTTGTCTAGTCCTCTGCAATCCAAGCAATATATTTCCTTTTCAGAGCCATTGGTTTTGACTTTCAAATGTCAATTAAGCAAGAGTTTTTCCACTCTGTTTATTCCAATCCAGTTAATGTTACATCTGAAACGGTAAAGAGTAATAGTTTGATAGGCACAACACTCAGTTTGCTGCTTCATAACAGTTTTTTCAACAGATTCTTCTGACGACCTTAATGTTTAGCTTGAATTAAGCATTAAAGTACCACATAACTTCAGCAGCTGAAGCATATCAAGCTTGCTGTTATTTCTCTAACTGTACCTTTTCAGAATGTTTTAAAAATTCTACTGCGAGAGAAGCAATAATGACTTGAATTAGGTTTTGTCCAACGTTCCACTGAAGCTGGGCTTTGAGAAAGTAATGATCTCAGTTAACCTTTCTGCAAAATAGGAGTAATAATGTTTATCTATCTTTATAAACAGCATCTATATATGAAGATAATGAGCTCTATTTTTAGGAAAATTGAAGAGCCCAAGTGCTTATTCTGTCAAAGAAGACGTGGTGTCTCTGAGCAGGGTTGCATTGCATTCTCTGGGGATAATGGCAGTCTTACTGCTTTGGTAGTTATACTTGACCAAGAATTACTCCTGCAATTGTTAACTGCTACTTTCAGTTGTCAATTTGAATTATTCAACTGGAAATTGATAGATAAAACTGATATGGTGAAAACATTGTTTAAATGCTGTAAACAAGGTCATTTTTATCAGAGGCCACCAATAATGCAGCATAGACATAAGACTCGTGCATAGTTCCTGTCAAATGCAGATATAACACCTGAAGAGGTTAGAGGTTTTCTGCTCTCCCTTCTGCCTGAGGTTGCTATTGATTCTATATTAATATCCTGGGCAATGAATTTCTATGGCTGAGCAGCAAACACTGAACTAATTTAGTGACCTTTATTAAGTGGGTGGTCAGAACTGTAGAGATACTTTAGCGTAAGGTATGCCTGTAGGAATGGAGGTTTCTAATTCACAGCTTAAAGGTCTTTCTCTCTTTCAAAACACATGTGCTGATTACCACATTACTGCTTTCTGACACCTGTAGAGATTATATACAGATAAGCTAGGTAAAACAAGGTGAGGGAAAAACAAGTAACTGGCTGCAATCCAGCACTTCAGGAATAGTACAGGATAAGTTCGGATCCTAGAGTAGGTGTAACAACACCTATGCTCTTATAGAAACCTCAGAATATATGGGTATAAATGGGCAGCAGCAAGGCACCTAGCCCTTCATGCCTGCCCTTTCAGAAGACTAACACCTGCTGAGGCCCAGGGAAGAGGTGGACACTTCTCTCTCCAGAGAGGCCAAAACCTGTGCTTAGGAGTATGAGGTAGAAGGAAGACTCATTGTGTTGTCCTCACCCTCTGCCTTCTAAATTGGTGGTGATTCATGTTTATTAAGTGCTTTGCAGTTCTTGTGTTAAGAATGCATTAAACCAGTGCTATTCAACTGGTGCTTTTTAGACTCCTGCTGATCTGTAAAGCCTTGGGAAGTACCTCATGAGATAACTGTAAAGTGTATTTCAAAAAAATCAGATCTGCATACATTTCTATGCAGTTAGCAGATTTGTGTCTGTGCTGTCAGCAGGTGTAATCGGAAGCTGGGTCTTGATTGCTCTTCGTGCCTAATTAAATAGTTTGTAATTATAATGGTGAAAATATGGTTTTCTAAAACACTTAAATTCTGTTTACCTAAAAGCTTAGTGTTCCTAAACCATCCCTCTCCACAACCACCAAACCAATAGTGGAATAGAAGAAAATTAATGTGGGTTTTTTTATTATTATGTTGTGCCCTTCTTCAGCCTGCTGCAAAAGTTAGCTAGTCTTTTGATGAGAATATTTGGAGACACTGCTTACATTTTTCAGATATGCCAAATTGTATAAATCCAATTCCAGTGAATTCCAGTGTTGAACTAAGACTGGAAGGTTTGCACGTCATGCATAGAACAGTCATTTGCTTTATCACATCATGTTCAACATAGTCACTGATGTCAAGTTTTTTCTCTCAAATCCTCCAACACTGCTTCTTCCCCACTTTCCTTCTGCACATTAACACTTTTTCTCTCCCTTCTTATTCCCACTAAACATTGGCTCTCTATTCTCCATCAATACTCCCAGACAAGTAAAACTACACCTCTCTTTTAGAAATTGTTCACTTCTGACTGTGCTTCCTGGTCCCCTATGTCTGAACACTGTTAATGCCATCTACTTGAAAACATAGCCAGTCCTGGTTCTTCTTTCTTGTTCTAACTCCACTTTCTCCTTTTTTCTTTTCCTTGTCTATTCCTGATCTCCTGGAATACCTATTCCTTCTTACTCACCGCTCGCTGCTGCCCACTAACTCTTCAGCTCTTGCTTCTTTCTTGTCTTTAGACAAGCTGAAATCTGGGTCTCCCAAGTTTGTGTTGTTTTAGCAACCATTCTTCTTACAGCAAGTTCTCCTTTCCACTCCATTCTTGACCACACTACCCCCAAGAGAAGGGAGGGAGCTCTTGAACTTCTGTCCTGCTGTCATCCAGACCTTCCTCTCCTTTCTCAATATTTTTTAAAAGTCTAGATGGGCAGACTGAAAAAGGCAATCTGTATATACTAATTCATACCTTGCAATACAGGATAGCGCCAGCACAACAACAATCTCTGTGAACTGTAGAGGGTATGAGAGTGCTGATATCTGCCCAGATGAAAGGTAGAATACATCCAGAGCCGGCATCATAAACACCTGACTGCTGCTCCTTAACATTTGTTGTCATCAGAATTTAGTCTAGCATGTATGGTTGTAATGTTTCTTTCCTTTTTTTTTTTTTTAAAAAACAAACAAAAAAAATCACATGGGGATATCACATACTGATATTGCTGCTCTTTTTGTTGCTGTTGTTGTTTTTGTTTATATATTAGTTCTGTCTATACTAATTAATGTTTCTGGTGTTATGTCCTCTGGCATAAAACAAATCTCCATAATGTTGTCTCTTTCCTTCAATATTCCTCATCTCCCCCTCGCAAAATATCCTAAATTTACACCATGGTTTTTCTTACATTGTAGCTCCCCCACAGTTTGTGGTGAGACCACGAGACCAGATTGTAGCCCAGGGTCGAACAGTGACTTTTCCTTGTGAAACTAAAGGAAATCCCCAGCCAGCTGTTTTCTGGCAAAAAGAAGGAAGCCAGGTAAGTTATAAGCACCCTACAAGTCTTTCAAGCCTTTCTAGATAGTTATATTTTTAAATTTTAGGAATATTATTTATATTACCTTTCACAGATTCTTTTAATCTTTCACAGGAATTTGTCTTTTAAACTATTACTATTCTCTACCGATATTTTTGTTGCCGTTTTTTTAAAATATTAATATTGTGAAGAACTCAAAGGCCATTTAAGTTGGTGAAACTTGTGCTAGGTGCTGTATAAACGTATAGAAAGCAACAGTATATATCTTAAAGACTTTTCATTCTGAAACCCCCAACAAACAGGTGAGTGAGACAAACACAGTAGATAAAAAAGGTATGACTCAATTTTTAACTAATCAGAGTCAGTAATTACAGTTCACAACCTGTCTAGACATGATCAAGCAAATACATATCTAGTAAGCTGATTTGCATTGACATAGTCTCATAGTGCATACAGATATAGGTTTTGAACACGCAGATGCTTTCTTCAGTAAAATTGTCTCAGGAAATTTCCGAATCCAGTTTTGGAAATATTTCCCTGATCCTTACTGTCGTTTTTTTGAAAGCAAAATTTCTGATGTAGCAGTCAATGTTGCCATTAGCCAATATTAACTTCTATAGCTTAATATTTGAATGTCATGCCATAACATTTTTTTACTGCTCTTGCTGTATTGGCACTATGTTACAGCAGAAGTCAGTCCTTCTCACTTTCAATGTGCAGTTCATGTTAGTATGTTAAATTTGAACACTGTAAACTCTGTGCCCTATTCTCTTTTGCACCTGAGAAAAGATTAAAAGGGGCAAATGGATGCCCAAGGACAGCGCCTTCTGCAGCTCCCTGATGAAGCCTGTCATGGCGACGTCTGCCTATGTATTTATACTACGTACCCTTCTCCATTGGCTAAATTAGTCTTTCCAGAGCCCTGTCTACTTTTTCCCATATGGCAATATGAGTGAGTTAACTCAAGTATCCATACTGTGCTGTGCCTTTTGTCTAATCTGGAGGCATTGTGTGTACCACCTCTGTTAAAAAGTGGAATAAGAACTGAATCGCAGATCTCCCGCTCTGCCACCTGCTTCTGCTTCACCTTCTCACGAGGTCAGATAACTAGTCCAGAACGACAGGACCAAGGCTGACAGCATTTTGTGCTCTGTTGCATTTGTGGCTTACAAAGATACAACACTGTTACTTTATGAGTGTAAGCTTGTATGAGTGTAAGCTTAGTCTTCAGTGTGTTTCTTTCAGCGTATTATTCAGAGAACTTTAGATCTATCCTCCACGGTTCACATCCTGATAAAACACAGTACTGTGAGTCTCACTAAGGTGAAAATTGTTCCAAGGGGAAAGTAGAATAGCATATTGAAATTAAAGTAGGAAGTACTGATGTGCTAGCAAACATTTCAAAACTCTTCCTTGTAGAGCATTTTAATAACATGGTAATGTTTATGTAAAGTGAGCTTATAGTGTCACACTTGAATCTAATAAAGTGGACATCCATCATGCTGTAATAAAGAGAAGAGCTTCTAATTAAAGTAGAACATCATTTGCAGGATTAAAGTCATTTAGCGTAATTGAAAAGTGTTAATACTCTATTTTATCCTCTTCCATTGGTATCACTTCAAGGGTAAAAACATTTTAAGGTGAAAATGCATCTTGTGTCTTTAATTGAATGTTATTACCTACTGATTGTATCATGTTGAAACTGTTTAATTACAAACCTTGAAAATTAATTACGGTATTGAGAACCAGATCCCTGAGGGTTAGAATGGTCTTTTTTGGCAAATAAATGCAACGTAAAAATTGATACCTCCATGGTTTATAATCAAACCTTGAAACATAGCTCAACGTGATTCACTACATCCTCATCTTAATCTTAACTGAGCATCAGTGAAGTAACACAGGTTAGCGTTACCATCTCAATATACAACTTGCCAGATTTTGCAATGAGACGCCATAGAATAGGTGAGTTTCCACACACTGTATATCATCATAGAAATCTGAAGGATGGTATTTTGGCCAAATTAGGCATTGTCCACTGACCATACATGAGTTTTCACCTTTGCATGCCCGGCTATAAGTTGTTGCTTGGTTTTACAATGCTTGCTTCTGCTTTTGCTCGAGGAACTGTTTGCAGCACGACTGTTAGTGTTCAGAGTAATGTTATGTAGTCATGTTATCCCACTCCAGTAATTGTAGGGCATTTTTCATTGTGAATCCATTTCTCGATCCTGTGTTTCTGAGCACAACCAGCTGGAAGGGAGGGAAGCTGTTCCCTCCTGAGTCATTTTTTGTGCCAACTTGTGCATAAACAGCTGGTCCTTTGTACTCCGTAGCCTTTTCCCCAATGAAATGCACCAGGGCAGGGCGTGTGTAACCTTTAGACTCTCTAGATTAAATTCTTCCTTGAGATAAATTCAGTGGTATTACATCAGGGGTGACTCTGGTCCCCCTGTTTGCAACCCAGCATGCCACCATAGTGCCCAGATGAGCAACCCGACAGCTAATTAAAACCAGTGAAATTGTAAAAACATTTAAAAAGGTGTTGTACTGTAATTTAGGACAAGTTATAAGTCATAGTTATCTGGTCTTTGAAGGGAGGAGTCATGAGACTGATCAGCTCCTCCTGAAGTGTGGAATATTCACTGGGATGTGGTACCTCTCAAGAGCAGATAAGCCCATGCTGAAGACAAAAAGAAGGGTAACCTCCCCTTTCTAATGCAGTGATGAAGAGGATTCTGGATCTTTGTCCTCTTAAGAACTGGGAGCTTGATCCTTGCACTGTCTTTTATGTTGTGTTTCTTTTTACACTTTGCATAATGGAGTCAAGCTCAACCATATCAAAATTCTCTGCTTTCTCATAAAATTTAGTGGCGTTTTCATAGTACCCTTATTAGGTAGGTATCTGTGCCAGGCAGAGGTTATTCTGAAAGTTTCATGGCAATTCAGAAAACAGGGCAATTTTTCAAGACCCACTTAACCTCGTAGCCTGAAATTGTTTCAGAATTTTCACACTTTTTTTCTTATTGGATCTGACATGTTTACTGGGTGCATATTGATTTTTGAGGAAAAATTTGCTGTGAAAAATTTCTTGAACATTGACATTGAAAGGGGGTAAGGGGAAAGACTCCCCCTAGGGTGACAAGTAGCCTAGTAGTTTAATACAATTGTAAGGATACTTGGAGTGTTGGATCTTATTTAAAGCATATCTCTCCTTTTATTGCCAAAACCACAGAGATAAGGGTGTGAGTTTCACTTCAAAGCAGAATTTTTTAAAATCCGAGTTTGTCAGTTCCAAACAATTTTTTGTAAACCATTAAGGTCTACTGCTGAAGAAGCAGATCTACAGAAAATTCATTTAATACCGTACTCTATACTTTTAGATTTTCTTTTTAGCCCATATAGACAAGCTTAAAAGTTAGTAGAGAGTCATCATTAGAAAGCACAGCAGAGCTATACAGAGCTGCAGTAATGACTGAAAGCTTATCACAGCATGGTAACAGTGTGTTGGGATATTCCTGATACAAATGATTGTATTTTTCGGAGAGGCTTGTTGAGTTCACATAAAAGCCAGACTGGAATTACTGTTGTTTAATCTATTTCCCTTTCTGTCTCATTGGGCAATGCTGCTGACCTTTCACATTGCCTCCCTTTTCCTGTTCTTTTTTATTCACATCAAGAGCTGTGCCAGACGGTATAACTTTTTCCTTGAAAACACAGCCCTCACCACTAAAAGCTTTTCTGTCCTTTTCTGTATTATTGATTCATTCAGTCCTTCATCATATGCAATGACTGCTACATCCATTCCAGTTATTCTTATTGACATCTCTCTGTTCTCCAATCCAGCCCAAAGGCAAAAGCTATCTCCCTGTTTTGTGCTAATTGATGTCTTATCCTACATGAAATTATTTTTTCTCTCTGATGATTTCCATATCAGATTTAGACCCCTTCTCTTCACCCTCAAGGCTCCATGCTGCTTTTCTCCTTTGGTACATCTCAGTTTTAATTTACTTTTACTTCTCCTTTAAGATCTCATGCTCTGCCAGCTTCTCCTACTTTATGACCTCTTTGTATCTTCCTCCCAGCTTTCCTTCTGTGCCATGCTCTTACTTTCTCCTTTGCCCAGAACATGTTCACAGCCAAACAATAGTGCTATGCTCCCTCAAGTCTCTGGGACTCAATTCTTTCTGCTAGTTTTCTAATGTTTACTGTAGCATTGTATCCTACTGGTTTGACAGCCAACTAAGTATATTATTACAATTAAATTCAGAATGAAGATGAATGTGTCACAAATACAAATCACTCAAGTGCAATTGTTGGAAAATTTCTCCTCGCCTAGACCCCCAGCCAGAACATACCACTGTGTCCTGTCAAAGGACTGTTTCTAATTTAAGCTGCAAGTCGCCCAAGGCAGGGAAAGCTAGCTCTATGTGTTCATAAAGTCATAACCACACTTCGTTTTTCTTCTAATTTATATATAGTACTTTTAAGGAAAAAATGTTGTCTCTCTGGCTGAGGGAGAAGTGGTGCTTTTGTGTTTTGAATTGATGTGAGATGAATTGTCTTTGCAGAATCTACTCTTCCCAAACCAGCCTCTCCAACCCAACAGCAGGTATTCAGTGTCACCAACTGGAGACCTCACTATTACCAACATTCAGCGGTCTGATGCAGGCTACTACATTTGTCAAGCACTGACGGTTGCTGGAAGCATTTTAGCAAAGGCTCAGCTGGAGGTTACTGATGGTGAGCTATAGAAATTCCTAGTGTTTTTTCCTGTCAAAAGTATTTTAAAAGTGGTGTAAATAAAGGCATATTAGATCACATAATTCATACAAGGTAAACAGACAAGTTTCTACAGAAAATACAATGAAAAAAGGGTCTCTGTGCAATTCTCTATGGTATCAAAAAGGCATCAAAGTCTAGTTTGCCTTTTGCTTTCTTTCTGGAGGTTCCTTAATAATACAAGCAAGGTACAAACCACTTTAGAATAGGGTTGGTGAGAAAGCAAGCTTCTTGGTTCACTAGAGCTAAGATAGGACTGCAAAAAATATTGTGAAGAATGAATAGGTTTGTGATTAAAGCAGTGAACTGGGGTGCAGAAAAATCAGGCTCAATTCCCACCTCAGTCCCAGTCTTCAGTATTATCTTAGGCAGCTAGTTTGGGGATGTGTCCTTAGCTCAATTAAATCAACACTGTTGCCTTGAACTTACCAGAGTACTGTTGGTTTAGAACAGCTACAACATGTAGCCCTTTAGTCCCTGTGGCAATAAGGCACCAAGATATTTCCTTACCTCAGAGCTGTGTGCTAAGAACTTCTCACTATGGTTAGATGTGAAAACAGACATGTGAATACCTAGGTAGGGTTTTCAGGAAAGGAAAAGAAAAGCATTACATGATCTGTCTCGATGCTTTCAATTTCAAAATTTTGGATTTGAAAGTTATCCTGCCTTGAAGTTTACCTTACTGCATCTACAAACATGAATCCTTTTCATGTCAGGAATCCTGTTGTTATCCCTCTTCATCCCATTATGGATAGAAGGCAGCATGCATTCTTTAATGTTAGTGAAGAAAGCAACAGAATTCCTCTTATACTAGGAGATTGTTGCATTCCCCGGCATCATTATTCCTTAACTGACTCATTAAATATCTCCTGACAGACTTTGATGAATTTTTGCCATTAAAACTGTTGTTATATGCAGAGGTCTACTTTTACTGTTCCCTTAGAGACCTGCCTGCACCATGAAAGTTTGAAAAGATGTCTAATTTTGAATAATCTGGCTTTTCACAGGAGCATATTCATCACAAGTGACAGGTAGAGAGGTTCAGACTCATGTTATAGAGGTTTGAGCATTAATTTGATGCCTTTTCTTTGTTTTCCAAAAGCTGTCTATATTTTTATGACAAGGGGAGATAATTTCTGTCTTATCCTTGCATCTTTACAAGCACATCGCTTTTCTGTAAAGTAGTTTCTGGAGGCTAAAGGCTAACCTTTGCTCTGCAGTATCTCTTAAGACCTTTCTCTCATGGTCTATGACAAAATGATGCATTTTCATTCAATTCAAATTTAAATGTAGATTAAAAGGTCATTTAAAATTAATGGAAAGGCAGTATTTTTTAATATCTGTCCATAGCGCTGGCTGATTCAATGCCATGACTGTGATTGGAATAAACAGAACACACAAACATTGGCTAAGAGGACATTGAGCTGTTAATGGTTACACCTGCTGATGCTGTACAGATTTACTGCAACAGGGGCCGAGAGGATCAAATCAGGTTCAAGGATATTAGTGATGAGAAATTCTTCCTTTTGACAGACAAGGCCTGTGGTCCATCTCTATCTGTTTTGTGTGGGGGAAAAAAAATAATAAATCCTAATGACCTCTTTGGAATTTTCATTAGTTTATTTAACAAGTCAACAGAAAGATCAGAAAAGTGTCCTGGCTAAAATGCAAACTCAACTACAATTAATTCTGATTAAAGGCGGTGTGCATTCCACATTGCTAGAGAAAGCATTAGCTGGTGGCTCTGCTGCTCAAGGAATGCAAGGCCTGCGTTCTTCAAACACTTTCCAGAACCTACTGTCAGCATGATCATTATGAAATAATACAAGGTTGCTTTATAGAAATACCATTTCATCCTTGAGTCAAAGGGCAGGTGAGGTCAGGAGAAAAGTGCCAGAACAATATTGTGGAACTGAGATTATATAAATAAATGTACCATTAGATCACAGATATTTTTTTAATTGCTTTCAGTTAGGAAGTTAACCATAAATGTCTAAATAATTTGTTTTGGTTGATGCTGAGCAGAAGTTATGGAAGCTAATGATTTTTATCAGTAGGGTAATCTAATTTAATGGTTTTAAAAATATAATAAAAGATAAACACTGTGCATGCTAGCTATATACTTAAGCATTAGTGTTCTAGTTTTTGGCTGGTGATTTCAGTTTTACTTCATAGCCCAGAATTTTTCTGTTTGGTTAATGATTTAATAATAGTGGCGAGCCATCTTTTTCATTTTGAACACATTTTTGTTTGATCCAGAGTAATTTAGATCCAATTGAAGTTCCAATACAGAATGAAAACATATGTCATGTGCAGAAAAACAAGTGCTTAATTATACCATATATAGCAGTGTTTCAGTTGTTACATTTTTGCACTTACAAGTCTTTACTGGAAATATTTTTAACTCAAGTGTTCACATGAGAAGAGATTACTAGCTGTGATGAAATGTGCTGAGTTGAGTGATAATTTTGCTGATTATGGACTGTGCTAGGAGCCATCAGTGTATTTGAAATTCAAATCTTGTATTTTCTTGAAAAGCTATCATATAATCCACTGTCTAACGCACATCTGGAAAAGCAAAATAATTTTAAAAATTGAGACAATCTTAGCAATCCTTTCAAACTCAAGAAGTGAATATGCAGCTCACAGTCTTAAAATGACAGATCATGCAAATAAACCAAATGCTTCCATCTAACTATGTCCATGCTCAAGATAAAAAGAATAGTTTACAATTAGTAATTTATTCCATAAATTTATCCATCATGCACAGAGTATTTTGGAGAAGATCTCAGTTTCTTCTAATCTAGTCATTATTTATACGTATGTTGTGGTTTAACCCCAGCCGGCCACTGAGCACCACGCAGCCGCTCGCTCACTCCCCCCTGAGTGGGATGGGGGAGAGAATCAGAAGGGTCAAAGTGAGAAAACTCGTGGGTTGAGATAAAGACAGTTTAATAGGGAAAGCAAAAGCCGCGCACGCAAGCAAAGGAAAACAAGGAATTCATTCGCTACTTCCCATCGTCAGGCAGGGGTTCAGCCATCTCCAGGAAAGCAGGGCTCCATCACGCGTGACAGTTACTTGGGAAGACAAACGCCATCACTCTGAACATCCCCCCCTCCTTCTTCTTCGCCCAGCCTTATATGCTGAGCGTGATGTCATATGGTATGGAATAGCCCATTGGCCAGCTGGGGCAGCCATCCCGGCCACGCTCCCTCCCAGCCCCCCGCACACCTGGCAGGGCACGGGAAGATGAAAACTTGACTAGCGTAAACATTACTTAGTAACAACTAAAACATCAGTGTGTTATCAACATTATTCTCATACTACATCCAAACACAGCACTATACCAGTTAATAGGAAGAAAATCAACTCCATCCCAGCCAAAACCAGGGCAACTTATTAATAAAAATTTTGACCACTGCACGCTCAACTGTAGGATCAGCCTACCCGTGCTAGTTTTCCCAGCAGTTGCAGTTTAGGATGAGTATTGGAATGGAGGAGCAAGCTTAACCTTCCCCAGTGGATGGCATAAGAATGAAATGTTTTAGGATATTCAATTAATTAAAATGATCACATTTCTGGGGTTTTGAATGAAAGCAAAAGGCTGGACCTGCAAGGAGAATCCAGAACAGATGTCCAAAAAAAAAAAAAAAAAGGAGAGAAAGAGTTGGCAGCATACCTCAACAGCTCCCTCTCCACTGATTTGGAATAGACACTTAAGGCATTTTTCCCAAACTCCTCTGCAATTTTTTTATGATAGGTCTAATGAATATTCTGGGATAAGTCTCTCTCAAATCCTCCTGAAAGAATTTAATATCACTCACTGTTTACTCGTCTGCAAATCTGGCAACCATAATTCCTGTCCCTGATCAAAAGTATATTACATGTTTTATAGCAAGTGTGACAGTTTCAAACAGGAGAGATTCAGAACAACTTCACAGCCTCCTGTGAAGCTCTTCCACAAAAAAGACAGAGGAAGGGTTGGTCTCTCAGGAGAGCACCCTGCCCTATCATGCTAGTGTTCATCATGAGAATTTTGTGATTTGTGTCTGATTTTACCCATTAATTCACCAGGAAAACCTTTGAAATGTTGATTTTGGAGGTGCCAAAGTAAAGACTTCATTTTGTCATTCTCTTATTTTAATTTCCTGTTGTAATTTGACCAAATTCCACCCAAATTTAAACATGGTTTCAGTTGATCCAAATTGCATTTGTAGTGAATAAACTGTTCATTAACAAATATAATTTGTTCTTTTCTGATACTCTACTGAAAATTTAAGCTGCATTTTATCACAAAAGGAATCTGATAATTTTTCAGTTACCAAAATATATGAATATATTTTGAAATCAACTTCTCTTTTACTATGCAGATATATTTTAGACACACAACATGTTTCTGTAGAATGGATATAAAAGTTTCCTGCTAGGAGAAAACAACGTAAAATTTAACTAAAATATTAAAACGTTGTAAAAGAAACTAACAAAACCTCAACCTTTTTGTGGATATTTTTCATTATCTCTCTGTTCTTCAGAATGCTTATGATATATATTTCTAAACCTCTAACCGAGTTTTGAATCCTTGTACAGGAGACCTATGTAGTAGGAATACAAGCATGTATACACGTTTTAGAGAAGATTTACAAGTCATAGTTGTGAAGACAATACAGTCGTTCACAGATCAGTGGAAACCCTAAGTGTTCATTTAACCTTTAGCCTTTGTGTCATGGAAACCTGTAGTGGTCTTTCACCCGTAACACCCTTGAAAATGAAGATTCCTTCTGGCCAGGAGACTTTCAATTACACTATTGATCAGGGCTATTTAAAGGATTATGAGCTCCTCATTTGAGCTGTAAAAAAACTAATTACATGCCAAAGAACAATATCTGTAATGCAGTAGGTTTTGAAAATACCTACATTGCTACACATATGAAAGGCAATTAGTTGCAGCAAATAACTGCAATGGAATAGTTAGCAACTTAAGTAATCCTTTTTCCTTAATTTTTAGCTACCTAGAAAACTGGGATTTGCTGTTTTATATTAAATCTAAATGAAAACTTACACAGCTAAGTTTTCATTTGAATATACTCGTGCTGCAGGTATGCTGATAGTAGATATGAGCTGAGATCAAGTTTTATTTTACCAAATGGCTGAACTGTGTAGTCATACGGAACCTTTAATGAGATCAAAAATTTCATATCAAGGTGAAAATGCGTTACATTTTCTCTTTTCTTGTAATATAGTGTTTCCTGTCCTATCTCTGCATTCAGTGGGTGATATTTCAGAATTTCCAAAATAGCTTTCACGTTCTGGTGTTAATAAATAATCTGTATTGGCTTTCTGTTTTCAGTTTCAATTTCAATAAATGTGGTGAACTCACACCTCAAGGTGCTACTAATACTAATGATTCTATCCTTTGCGTATCTTGTTAACAAAAGAAGGTAGTTAGTATTTTTGCAATGTTACAATTTCAGAAACAATTATTTTAGGTATAAAGTGTACCACTAACATCTCCCTAATAATTTTTATTTATTAAATGACATAATGAAAGCGCTTTGGATCTGTTGAAGGTTCCAGAGGTTTGCATCTCAAACAGCTCAAATACAACAGAAACCATATTGTTTCACAATAATTTATTTTCACTTCGTTGTTAGAGTCAGGTGTTGTGTATGGACTATAATGAACCAGATTCTCAGTTAGAATAAATGATTCAAACTCAATTGACATCAGTGGAGGCAGGCTAACTTACACTGATTTCGGAGTGAATCCTGCCTGTTACAATATTTAATACCAATCGTGTATTTGTTCAGTTGTTCAAAGATTTAAAACAGCAGCAGTGTGGCAGGTAAATATATAAAAATGAATTCTCAGTTCTGTTATACTGATTTTACACAGGAGTCATAGCCTTGTTTATATTCAAGTATTTCACATTCATTTTGTATAAACACATTCTTTAAAAACAGAGAGTTATATTTTGCTGCTTAACAGATGGCTCAGAGAATAGGTTCAACAGGAGAACAGGAGAATTATCTATGAAAACTGTTCCTTTCAAGAAAAACGAACATGAGCATTTTACCTCGACTTCGAGATACCCCACTGGTCATGGAATGAGGTTTATATGCAGCCATGCACTCGCTCACTCGTTACGGAGTCCTTTAAGCAGTAATTCAAGCATGCAAATGTAAATTATTAGGGGAAAAAGAATAGAGGAAGTTCATGGCTTTAAAAGGTGATGAAATTATTTGTTAAGTAAGCTGTTAAATGACTTGATTGAGTTTGAATTTTTCTGCACTGGAAATAGTGGTACAATCATTTACATCACTCACATTATGAAAATGTTTTGTATTATTGTTAGATATTTTTGCTGATGAAAACTTGCAAGTTGAGCGTGAATGGGGGATGTGGTTGGTACCCATGCTAGAATGGCTACAGTGTTTCACTTTGAACTTTGATTTTCTTTTAGACCCTAAATCAGGTGAGCAATTAAGCACATTTTGATGTGACATTAAACGTGCTCTAAGTGCTTTCCTAAATTGGAAGAAATAAGAGATGTACCTCAGTTCTTTTCTAGATCAAGGTCTTAATTTTCATCCTGTCTTAATTAAATGAGTCTGATGATCTTTGCTAACAAAATTTTATATATCTACGTGTTATCTTCCAGTGGTGAAATAAAATTCCTCCAAAACCACTTTTCAAATATACCAGTTAATTGTTAACATGTATCTGTGAGTCTTCCAAAAATAATGTTTTTAGCCTTTTAGAGGCTAACTTAAACCAGTCTGTTAAAATTGGTACTGTGACAAGGAAAGGGCAAACTGCAGCAGAGGATCGTTAAAGGTGTGGATGCCAATGCGTGTGTTACTGTTTAGTCTTGACAGATAGGCCTCCACCCATCATCCTCCAGGGGCCAGTCAATCAGACACTGGCAGTGGATGGGACAGCTTTGCTGAAGTGCAAGGCAACCGGTGACCCCCTTCCTGTCATCAGCTGGTTAAAAGAAGGATTCACCTTCCTGGGCAGGGACCCTCGAACATCCATACAGGATCAGGGGACGCTTCAGATTAAAACTCTGCGGGTGAGTAGCAATAACAAAACAAGTGCTACAAGTGGTACATGGCTAGTCTTGAACTGTTGGTGTGTTCTGCTGTCTTGCAGTCTGTTGTCTTCAAAATTAATTTAATTATCTCTTTTACTATGAAATTCTCAGCATGGCCACATCCTATTTCATTCTTTGACATTGTGTAGGGGAAAAAAGAAGAGCCAAACTAGCACCGGATATTTCTATTAGAATTCCCTAAAAATAGTATTGATATTTAAAATCTTACATACGTTGCAATAAAACACATGAGTTGGGGACGGATAGACATGTAAAAAGACAGGCCTTCCTTATCTTTTCAGTCGGTCTTACCATGAAGCCATTGCCCTGTTGTCTCTGTTAAAACTTAGAGCAGTTCATTTTTAACACCTGATCATCATTTTCCAAGGAGCTATTGTGCTAGCAAGTGATTCTGGAGTTCATCAGGGTTTGGCCGTGCACTTTCTCCATCAATGAGTCTTGGCAGCCTTAAGCTGGCTGATTATTCCAATGTTATGCTTGCTGGAGACGTTCCATAAGGCTGCAGATAGGAGAAGGCAACTAATATTGTAACATACATGCAGTCATATGCAGAGGGATTTCTATTCAAAATGAAATGCCTATCATAATATTTACATTTTGACACGTGAGATAATACGATATCTTAAAACTACAAAGAAATTTTATAATATTCCAAATAGTATAATGTCAGATTCTGTTGATAAACATTGCATCACTAATTTTTTCCCTCTTCAAAGATAAAAATGCGTAGTTGGTTGTGTGTGTGTGGACAAGCATGTATGAAAAAATAGGAAGGTAAATGTAATTATTTGTCAAAAACTTAAAGACAATTTCAGAAACCATTTAATTTCATCAACAGTAATTTCTGCACTTAGCTTTGCCATCCAAAAAAATGTCAATAAACATAGCTACACGGACAAGACATAAAATGCAGTTTTGTTTTCTGATACCATCTCATCAGTGATCGTAGATGAATTGTTAACTTCCTTGGAACAAAATGGAATTTATTAAAAAATTTATGCTAGCTTTCCTTGAGTAAACAATTTATCCTTCCTCCCTGGGCTGAAGGCAGGTTTAGGCCATGAAGGTTAATGCATTTTTCCTGTAGAGCCGGATTAAAGAGTGCGCTTGAATAGTCAAGATTCCCCAGTAGTGTTAGAAAGCGGCAATTAAAGGTGGAAGCTTAGTGATTTCAAACAAACTTTCAGCCATTGATGATAGGCTTCTTTGGAGTGTCCATGAGGCAGAAGCTCCTGGGATACCTGTCTGCATGCAGCTATGCAAACAATGAAATTGGTTCTGAATCGTGCCAGCGCATTAATCCCACTGTTAGAGGCACAAGGTCTGTAAACGAAACGAAAAAAAATTGCTTGCAAGGGGAGAAGAAAACAGTATTAGTAGTGAGCGTGGTTTTGAAAGACATGAAGCTTTTATTGATCCTTAAGTGGCTCATTCACTAGTAACCAATTTTCCTTAAAGGCTCAGAAAGACATTTTTTTATAAACCCCGTGATTGCAGTAATGTGCACTGTTTGACTCAGACTTAAGAACAAAAACCACACACAACTGTAAAAAACAGATTTCTCCTGTACCTTGCAATTTTTATGAATTAAATACGGATTTAAATCTGGAATGTTTAACTTTTCTCTCAGGTCTACCTGGGCAAGGACTAGCAACACTTCCTAAGAAAAAATGGCCACAGAATATGTTACATACCTGACTTCAAAACAAACTAGTATTTATCACCCACATGTCCTCAGCCTTCTCCTCCCTTCACAAATAATAATCACTATTGCAATTATAAAAGATTTCAAGATGTGGGTAAAGATGAGCCACTGCTATTTAAACCTTTGAGACCATCCTCTTCTGCTCTGTAACTCTCTTTCTGTGTGTAAATCAAACTATTGAGGAGTCTGCAGCAGTCACAGTCAACCATGGGCCACAGTCATAAACATGAACCTAAAGATTTTTCTGACAAGGCACTCTTCCCAGATGCTCTGAGGAAGACAACTAAAAACTCACAGACATCATTCACTCAGTACCCTTTCAGACAGGTTGACATTGACGGAAAACTTCTTTCTGCTCCGTAGAAGTATACCACACCAGATTTAGACACCTGCATTAACTAAGGAAGAAAACTGTTTATTTTACTGAATAGCAAAGATTTTCCATTCACCTCCCCTGTTGTTTTTTTCCATAGCACAAAAAAAGTATAAATAATTGAATTATCAATACACAATGTCTGTATCTAATCCATCCACAGTCTGGAAGTTAGATAATTCACCATAACTTGCAGGAGGCAGCATATCTCCAGCTTGCTTTATATGTTGAGTTTGCCTTCTGCACGTTACTCTGTTGTGTATACCACATACTTCATTGAATATACCATACACCATCTGTCACGGTAGTACACAAATGCAGTTGCAAACCATAGCCTTGAGAAATATTCTCCATTATCACATAATTATATGTTTAATAAAAGTTTGGAAGAAGCAAAATAAAACACTACTTCAGAATGCAATAAGGCACTCTCCTCTGGAAAATCTGACTCCCTTCAAGAGTCTTTCTCATTTCATTAGCAGTACCTTTATATTTTGAGTTTCTCAGGCATTGTCAGAGGGGTTTAATTATTGCTTGTATTTCACGGCAAAAGCACCTTCTAAAATGCAAGTCATGCTCATTCAGACTATTGAACTGGCATTAGTCAGTTGCTTCCTGCCCCTAAGAATGTACGCTGCAGTCCCAGTGTATCTGAAGAAATTACCAACAAAATTCAAACACGACAAAGTTAAAAATCGATTAAATTATATATCAACAAGTAATCTAAAGAGCATCTCACTTATTTGCCTTGACATTCTTCTTGAAGAGTGAGGTATAGGCACTTTTGCTACAGTGCCAATCTGCATTTAGCAGAACACTCATTACAATTCCTTAAAGTCCAATAAAGCTTCTTCAATGCAGTCCTATTTCCGTCAAGTCATCTGATGGTGAATATAATTCTTCTCTTTTATCACTAGAGTCAGCACTCTCCCTCTTCTGCTTCCAATTCCAGATTACCATGCTTCATACATAGTGGTAGGAGGGCTCCTTTGTATATTTTGTGCTTTGTGAAGTTACCGTTTTCCACCCACCTCTGTAGTCTTCACTAGTTCCTGTCTCAGAAATCTTACTTTAAGTAAGGAATAGAAAACACTTGGCAAATTTTCCAGTAGAACAATTTATACAGCAATAAGATTAATATTGACAATATAATTCAAAACGGTTTCCCCAAATAAATTTGAAATATATGAACTGACAAGAGAATCACAACAGTTTTATACAAATGCATTTGTTTTGCTACCAAAGTGTCTTGCAAGCCTGAAATAAAATCCCACGTGAAACAGAAAAAAGGTAAGCGTGGTGTAGGATCTGATTTAACTTTGCCATTTGAAAATGACTTGGAGGACTGTCTGTGTAGAGAGAACCACAGTTAACTCTCAGCAACAGTATTTGTATGTGTGGTGGCCTGTATAGAAATGACTTCATCTGTCATAAGAGTCTAAGATGCTGTAACAGCCTTCCTGGCACTGGAAACTGTATCTCTGGGTCACCATGGGATAACGAACGGTGAGATTTTATCCTCTAAGAAGTTAATTGTTGTTATATTGTTACCTGATTTCACCTGTATTTGTGGTAACCAATACAAAGATTGATACTGTCTAAAACATCCATTCTGTGGCACTTACATGCTGTACTGGTACCATTAACAATATGAAAATTAGAATTAGAAAAGTATTAGAAGCAAGTAATCTTATTATAGTTCTCTAAAAGTAAGCCACCATTAAATGATTGCTTGAAAATGTCTGGTGCTCTCTAGTCTGGTGTAAAATGTAGGCTAAGTCCTTCTTACCAAGAAACATCCAGAAAAAGAAAATTAGAGTAAACTCTGTCAGCTGATTCTAAAATGTTGTTAAAACTGCCTTTAACTTTTTTATGTCTAGCTGTCCGATACTGGGACTTACACTTGTGTTGCTACAAGTTCCAGTGGGGAGACATCTTGGAGTGCTGTGCTGGAGGTGACAGGTAAGCGATGTCCAGGGGCTGTTTTTCAGTTGGCACAAAATGAAAGTGAGACTATATTAGAGCAGTCTGAGTCAAATAATCCATTCTAAAAATTCTGGGATTGAGGTGGAGAAGTTTTAGTGGAAAGGCTGGATTCCTTCACATGCCTTGCATTTCATTGCTATCATCTTTAAATGCCCATTGACATTGCAACAATCTGTATTTGTCTCCAGTGACAGCGGTATGCTATCATTCTTCTAAACAGGAGTATTAGTAAACTGTGGATTCGTCCACTAATTGGCTTGGGCAGGAAAACTATTATGCCTACACAGTCCTGTCAAAGTCCAATGTGTTCTCTGTGGGTACTGGAGTTGATCTGGATATAGGAACTTTCTCAGCCTTCTAGTAACTGAGGTTTTGATATGTTATGTAAATTTCGGCAAAACTGGGCTTTTTTGTTACTCTTTCTTTCCTTTTTTTATATATTTATGTATAACCTTTTGAGTTTTGCAGGGTTTGTCTTTCAGTATGTATCTAAAGAATGATAGCTCTTCATCCAAAAATATATGTGGTAATGCAATTGTTGACTTAGTTCTTCACAGATTAAGAACATTGGTTTTGCTGATTTTGCAGATGTTTGGCATGTTTTTCCTTTTAATCTTCTACTTTGATCAAATTTACACAATCAAGGATAAAAAGTAATTGTTTTATATTTGCCCCTTACAGAATCCGGTGGAGCAACAGTCAGTAAAAATTATGATATAAATGACCTCCCTGGGCCACCATCCAAACCTCAGGTCACTGATGTTACTAAGAACAGTGTCACCCTGTCCTGGCAACCAGGGACCCCTGGAAGCCTACCAGCTAGTGCATATATCATTGAGGCTTTTAGGTATGTGAATTATTACACTTTTAATCTTCCTTTCTAATTTGGCTTAAACCCTGGTACCAGCTGTTCTCCTGGTATTGTGGTGTTCCTTTGGACGCTACATGTATCATTAGAAGTTCATTAAAAGACTCAACTCCTATGGCAGGCATTGATTCTTATTTTTTAAATTGATTTTTTTTCAGTTTATCACTTTTCTCTAAGTGATTAATTAGAGGAGCATCTAATTAGAGGAGCATCTAACTATTTCTTCAGGTCAACAGGAATATAACAGGACAATGCAGTCATTATTTGTTACTTTTCTCTTAGCATTGATGATCAGTGAGTATCTCCTGTGGGAATGCTGCAGGTCAAATAATTTGGGCCAGTGTTACCTTGACTGTCTTAGTACAAATAATCTGAAAATAAATGGATAGTCCTGAAGCCTCTCTGCATACTTTAATTTCTGTTCTTGTTAAAGCAGCACCTATTAAAGAGTCAAAGCACTTTAAATTTCTGGTTTTTATTGTTTTAGATAGATTAAAACTTTTAACTGAAAAGGCTAGTGTTGATAATTTAGGATTTCATCCTGCAGCCTGAGATTGAAGAGAATCCAGCTGCTCCCTTCCACACAGCAGCACTTAATACGTGGTAGGAAAGAACTCCTGGGCCCAGTTCAGCAAGTTTGTTTAAGCGTGGGCCATACCTCTCACGTGTATCAGTAATATACTCTTCTGCTTAAAAATGCGCACGTCCTTAAATGTTTTCCTTAATCAAGATGTGCAACAAATGACAAATAATTTACTTCATCTTTTAATTAAAATTCATGCAAGAATTTGTCAAAATCGTATGCATGCAAATTTAAGAAGTTATAGTGATAATGCTTCATCCTGCTATGTTAATGTGCAAAGAACATTACTGTATATGCAGACAGTTGGTTTTGTTCTGGAACTTGTACTATCCTTTATGCATTAAATAAATGAATGAAACAATTGAAACAATGTGAAACTCATAGCTTTCCATTTTCTTTTTCCTTTTAATATACTTAAAGAATTTTTTAATCAATGCTATACAACAAAGCACAATAAAATCAAATTTTCTTTAAACTTTTGTGATACTTCACCCTAGATAAGCTTTAATGGCATTCCACCAATAACTTTAACAAAACCTGGGCATTTTCATTAAAATTTATTTTAACAATCACACTTGAAATCTCTTCATACAGTGGATTGTAATCTAATTATAATAATGTCCAATGGAAAATGTAGTGACAGAAAAAATACTCATATACTTTCCTTCATTTACAAGCATGTTTTCAGACCTTTTTTTGTAACTTTGAGTATGATTTTAGTTCAAGGAGAATACTTTTCTTCCAATAACAATTTATTGACATAATTTACTTAGCAGTATAGAAAATTATTCTTTTAACAGGATTTTTTTTTTCCTAAGGTTTGTGTTCAAGAGTGGCCTATTTATCATTCAAATTTACTTTACAGCTTTCCACACTTTCCTTTTGCAGGTATTTGCTTTAGAGAGATAGCAAAAGCTTTTGCTTCTCTTGAAAGGAGAAAGACTTTTGACAGCTGTGTTATTTTTTTAATCCCGTCTTGATGAGTTAACTCAAATATTTTTATTTTTACCCTGTTTTTACTACTTTTTCCTGTACTTAGACTTGATATAGGGTTACAAAAGTAGGTCCTTTCACTTCTTTATTTTTCTCTTGCATTAGTCTATAATCTTCAATCCTCTTCTCATTGCAGTCAATCTGTGAGCAATAGTTGGCAGACAGTGGCTAACCATGTGAAGACTACTCTCTACACTGTGAGAGGACTGCGCCCCAATACAATCTACCTGTTTATGGTGAGAGCTATCAATTCGCAAGGTCTGAGTGATCCCAGCCCTATGTCAGATCCTGTCCGAACACAAGGTAATAGTAATTTTTAAGGCTTATGTGCTTGAGCTAAAATAGAAAGAAGGAACTGAGACCAATAGGTCAGTCTGGCCATTTGGCTTTAGCACTCTGACTGAAGGAATCATGAATTGAGCTTAACCAATAAAGATAGGAAATAGTTCAATGTTTGCTGTATCAATCTGGAGTTTAGGAGAGATAGGTTAGCTCTTTAATCCTTGGTACATTGTAGACCTTTTGGTTTGCAACACACTTAGACTTGGTCTAAGTGCAACACACTTAGACTTGCAACACACTTGCTCCTTAATGCCTGGTTTCTATTGCAAGTTATGAGAGTTACCCAAGCTTTTCTGAAAAGTGCTCTGAATACCATGCTCTCCTCAGTATCTTTTCTCTCCGTGTCCTTACTTCTTCTTCATTTTTATAATAGGGATATACTATAATAACAAGTGCTTATGACAGACAGCATAAGCAGACGTTTAGCATTAGTCTTAATGTTTAGCATTAGTTTTAATCAAAAGCATTGCACAAAATATCTGTAGTGTATTGACTAATCTGGTCCAACATTTAGGCGAAGAATTAATGTAAATTAAGGCATCTGCATGCTAAAAATATTTTGAAGTTATTCTGAGAAAAGTATGGCTCTTCTATTTATATACCTAGATTTCTGAATTCTTTCTATTAATCCGCTGCATAAACCAAGAGGGAAGGCTGAAGTGAAATTCTTCATTTATAGGGTGGTGATATAATTGATAGCTGTGATCCTCCATTGCTATTGAATTGACTATTGAGTTCTGTTCACATTACATCAAGCTCTAACCACGTGTAACTGCCACAAACAAATTTCTCTTCACAGCATGGATTTTTTTGGCTTTGACAACACATCGTTTGAATACTTCATTAATGAGTGTAGTTCTGTGTTAAATAGGTTTGAATACAGGTATTAATAATTTTTTGGAATCATAATTTTTTCGAATCCAAAGTAATAGCTCCTGTCACAGTTAATTTAGAATGAGATCCTCTGTCTCTGTTTATGGAAGTTATAAAAGTGTGCATGGAGAGTGCATCCTGTGTCAGCCTCTAGCATGTGTAAGTGTTTTGGGTCCTTTGCTGGTCCTAGATGGAAAGAGAGAAATAAGAGTAGGGTGGTATTTCTTTATCACATGACCATTGCACCCAGCCTCTCTCATTCCAGTCTATTCCTGAATAAATCTGTCCTCAATCATTATCCCCTCAAAATAGTAACCATTGCTGTAAAAGGAGAAACAGAGTTGCTTTCTGAAAAGCTGAAGGAGTGAGTTGGGCAGGGATTTCATGGCTTGACTATCCACAGAGTATCACAAGTTTTCCTCTCCTTCTTACTCTCCCATTATTATAGGGTGACTCATGCTTTTCATTGCACCAGCCTTTTAGTCTGCATAACTTATCACCTAGTTAAAAAAACAACTTTGTTTGGCATTTGAGTGTCAAGTATAGACTTTTTATCTGACATACTGACAAGCAATTTGATTTCAGTAAAAACATGTCTTTTAATTAGCTACAGCATGTGTTGCAGCTTCCATTTCCAGAAGCTGTTTAGCAGTCAAGCACACTGAGACATGTACAGGATTTATAGCTTCTTTGCAAGCCTCCAGTTTAATAGAATTAAATCATAAAATCAATTGAAAATTAACATAATGTTTTGATGTGATTTCTAATTATGCCTGAATTCAATTCAGGCTCACAGAAGAAGCTGACACACAGTAGAAAGCCTATTCACAGTGGCCACAGTGGAGGAAGAAAAAAGCAGCTATAACAGTGCTATATAATATTAATTTGCAACAGGTGTCTGTGGTAGCTTTAATAGCTGAGCATTTAATTTCCTGGTATTAAGTATAGCAAATACAAGTAATAGGATTTTATGCATATTTTCACCAGTGGACTAGAAATAGACAATCAGGCACTTTCAAAAGGTTTACCTTATATGACTTACATCAAATAAGGACAGAGAAATCAGTAATTACTCTAAGAAAGGAGTTGATTTCTTGTTTGGATTATTAACAGACCAAACCATATATTAAGAAACACTTCCAAGAAACTATATATAATCCTATCCCTGGAATTTAAATTACTAGCAACTAATAGTAAGTTCACTGGAAGCTGTTAAAAGAGAGGTTAGAGAAAATATATAACCAATTTAATTTTAAAGACCTCTTACCTGTAATTAGAATATAGCTTCTTGAGCCCGTTTTGCTTGAGTCATGATTTTATTATTCCAGTACTTGACAATATCCTTATAGGTAGATCAACTGCTTTTTTTTTTTTGAGACAGGAGTCTCTTAGTAATGTGAAAATGACATTACAAGACATTACAAGACATTACACTGTGAGCATCACATATGCATACGTTTCCAAGTGTACATACCAGAAAACAGAATTCCACGTGTACATCATTTCTTAGTGTTATTAGCCCATGTTATTCCCTTGCTTCTGGACATATGTCCCATTAAAATGATGAAATGCAGTTCATACAAACACACTATGTAGAAATGTCTTTTCTCCTGAGAGAATATAGGTACTTTGTTGGTTGTATACCACAGGATAACTTAACCTAAAATGTAGCCATGGGTAGCTGTAGGTATTTTGTACCAGGGATCATAGCTTTTTGTGGATAGCAGCATAAATTATCATCCTGTAACCAGTCTGAGTTGCTGTCTTACAGATTTATTATATTATATGTTTCTGTTTTGTGGTGACTTTGAATAGGCATAATTTGCTAGAAAAGCTCCTTCACTGACATCCATATTTGGATTATATTCCCTTTGGAGATCCATGGAGCCATTTTCATTTGAATATCAGTAGAAGCCTGTGGCAATATTGTTTATTGGTGGCTCAGAACCCATAACAATCCAGAATTATGAAGCTGAAATATTGATGATCAAAAACTACTTTCTTTTAAAACCTGGAGGCATGTGATTCACACTCAGTTCTTATATTTAAATGTTTCATTTTTAAAAGCACTATTATTTCTTTATAATATTTAGAAGATAAAAAGAAATCACATGCTACATACTCCCATATCTAAGACCATCAGAGGGGGAAAAACCCTTTTATGTATGTATTCTCTTCATAAGGACATGATGTTGATCCAAAAAGAGGGAAGGTGTCTTTGGCTAGTGAATCCCATGGGAAAACCAAGCAGAATTCACAGATGCCTAGACAGACATGACCATAATGTATCAGGCATTTTAGAATATAATCTGTGCTTGTGTTCCAAATCGCCTCTTCTGGAAAAATTACAAGCAAATTCCAGCAGAAATAATCACTATGTGTATGTCTAACAGGCATTATGCAATCCACATAGACAATTGACATAGTAAGGGCATCTGTAACTGTTGACCAGGAACGGTGTTGTAAGATCCTTGAAGGATCCATTGAAGGGATCCAGACTTCACTGGCTCCTACAAAGTACCTTCATTTCTGTCTAAGTTGGAGGGAAGGGACGTGCTATGGTGATATATTAGCTAGGTGATAGCTATAGCCCAACATTCTCCTTTTGGTGCAATGTAACAGAAAATTATGATTTCCAGGACCTATCACTAAAAAGACACATTGCACATCTCCTTCTCCATTTTCTGACACGTATTTTGTGTTTGCAGTTCCTATTTATCAAAGGTAATACTGCTTCATTCAATTTAACACAATGGCATAAGGCAAATGTAGTCCCTAAGGACTAGGTACTAGGGCTACATGCGGTGCTGGAAATGGAGTCACAGTTTTCCATAGACTTATACTAAGTGATCACACTCCTTCAGATTTTGACTAGAAGAAATAATTTCCCCACATACTTTGAAGGAATCTTTGACATAATCGTGAAGAGAAAATTATTGTGTTAGAGTGTTTTTGTTGGCCTTTTGTTAGATTGGAATCGGTTTGGCTTCATAAATTAATTCTTTTTTCATATTTGCACTAAATTTTGTTATCTATATCTGTAAAGGGAAAATTTGCTTTGCAGAAGAAAATGCTATTTTTAGTGTTTGGTTTCTTGTGTGCATGGTATGTGGAGAGGGGAAGGTTAGTGAAAGTTTGGAAACATATAATGACTTAATGTCATGTGTGCTCTAAGAAAATAAAAAAAAAAACTGTTCATTTTCTTCAGTTATACCAACCAATTTGGTTCCAGACATCTGGGCAACATTATTATTATCTGAGTATTTTGAAACTAGTGAATATTGCATCTCCCTCATCACTTACCAGATCTGAGAAAAAAGAAAAAACTTTGCCATCCAGTCTGAATACTCATTTAAACATCTTTATATTTCATTATTTCCTAAGCAGCTAAAGGTGAATGGCATTACCATTACATTGTTAGCATTACTTGATATGCTTTGGAGTTCATATTTAAACCTTAGTACTCTATTGTTTTAAAAACAATAGTATAAAGGGTGTTTAAATCGGGTCGTTAAGCTATTCAGTAATTCTTATTGATGCCATATATAGCTCTTCTCATTAAAATAATGCTTTCATATGTGTGCCTGGCCTGGCAGATATCAGCCCACCAGCACAAGGTGTGGATCACAGGCAAGTCCAGAAAGAACTGGGAGATGTCATTGTACGACTGCATAATCCTGTTGTGCTGACACCCACGACAGTTCAAGTCACCTGGACGGTAAGGCTTCTGTTATTATTACCTTAATAGTAGTTTAATTTTGCCTATTTATCTCTGCAGTTTTTTACTACCTTGAAAAGCTCCAGTCTTGACTTCAAGCATTATACAGGCATATATATGTGTAATGAAATGGTCTTTTTAGTTTCCCTTTCAAGTCAGGCAGGTTCAAAGTCTTCAGTGTTCAGCTCAAAGCAAGCTAGCTGTCTGACTAGAAAAATATAAAAATGAATATGCTTGACACCATAGTCTAAAGGATCTGTGGACTCATTACTGTGCATGTCAAAAAACAATCAAAGTTAAATATCAACATGAAATTGCTGTATGAAAAAGCACTTTCCACTTCAAGGCATAGGGACCTCTGACAATACCCTATTATTTGGTGACCCTAAAATGCAAAAATAGCTTTTCTATAGGGCACTTGTAGTGAAGTCAGAAGCACGTGGTGCTGATGCCTGATCCACTATCTAGCATCTGGTTTCCTAGCATAAGCCTTACCCGCAATCAGTGGATATTCTTTCATTATAGAAGACCAGAATCTTTTTGGCAGTTCTTAACAACATTTCTATTTGAGGGGTCAAACTACTGGGTAGAATTTCTGATATAGTATTTGGCTTTCAAAATGCTATGTTTCCCTTCCTGAGGCTTAAAGGAAAGGATTTGTAACTGTAGAAGGAGAGAGAGAGTTCCTAGGGTGCTGCACACCAGAAAAGAGTGCTTTGCTCTTGGGGCATCTGCCCCAGAGGAAGGAGAGCCACGGGTGGAAGAGTGAGAGAAATAGTACTGCACTGCACGTCACCGAAACAGTTGTATTATATAGGATGAATTCTGCAAAAGGGATATTCACAATATTCAGGGTTTTTCTTCTGCATGTAATATTGCTAAGAGGTTAATGTGTACAGGGGATTATACAACAGGAGATAAGAAGTGTGGTGATAGATTGTGTATTATAAGGATTACTGTTGGTTTTGCACAACTCGGCCATATTTACGGGGGCTTATGGACCATCCTTGTTCTGACAGATTTCAATGGTCAGGGAACAGATTAGAATAAATAGAGTAACCCACAAATTTGTCTTTCTTGGAAGATTATTTAGAAAATGTGTCATTGCATTTTGGCATTGATGATTTCAACACACAGCTTGCCTTTCTAAAATTGCTGCCTGTTTCAGCTACATGACTCCAGGACAGGTTGACTAACCTTTCTAGCAAACCCTTTTGCCTAAGCAGACATTTGCCCAAGCAGATGGATCAGTAGTTTAGAAACTTTGGATGTTAGCAGCCAGTAATTGTAAACCTGGATCACATCTGTGTGGTGCTCCTTCATATCCTTTCTTGGGTGTCACAGCTATCAGAAATATAGTTTCATAGGCTTGCCTTTGCTTTAGCATATACTACAAAAGGAAGCCCCAATATAAACAGAATTCAGCTTTATACAATGTAACCAATGTCATTATATTATAATGAAATATATATTTGTGTGTGTGTGTGTGTGTGTATATATATATGGGGGGTGTTGTCTGTCCGTCTATCTAGCTATATATCTAAAAGAGTCTCTTGGTGCGCCTACTGAACAAGTAATGAGTGAAGAAAACATGGTAAGGTGAAGGTAAATTGGTAGGGATGCTATGGATATCAACTTATTGGGAAGATCTCTCAAAGCAGTGACCCTATGCCACCTGACAAGCATACAGGCCTCTGTAGAGATGTTTCAGAATTGCCCAAGGGAAGAAAGACACAAAAGAAGATCTCTGGAACAGCTAATTAGAAACTTTCCAGCAACCAGAACAAAACCAATTAATTAACCATAGTCTCTAGGAAAAAAGCCACTCTATCCAGAGAATAAAGTCCACACTATTAATATAAAATGGTTAGTGTACCTATCGTACAAAAGGACAGAAGTGCCATGAGAGTTATAAGACTCTTTGTGTTGACTTTCTGCAATTCAAAGAGTGAATGCCAAGGAACGTCCTTGATTACCGAGTTTCTGGCATCCTGACTCCCAGCAAATCAACACCCATTTCTCCCTTCTTTTCTGAAATTGTTTTGGTTTTACTTTCTCTTCTTTTTTTTCAAATTTGAGTTTAAAAATTCAGAAATAGTTCTCTGCTGCTGTGTTGCAATTTCAAAATATACGCATACATATACACACATATTTTGTCTGTTTTAAAAGAAGGTCAGGCTTACAAAGTCAGTGTTAAAAAAAAAAGAGAAATGTCAGAATTTAGGTTTTCACTGTCACTTATATTTATTCCTCTTGTGCATAAGTATTAAAGTGTAGCTGTAATTATCTGGTCACATACAGGATCTCTTCTTCATGGAGCTATTTAACATTTCTTTTTATCTTCTTTATTCACTGTGTAGTGAGGTCTTATTAAATTCATACCACTGAAACCTTGCATTGAATAAAAAATTATTAGTTTGTTTCACATGCTAGCTTATCTGTCATGCTCTCAACCGTAACATTTGGGTGCTTTGCAAATAATACTGAATTTAACATCACAATGATAAAAATGTGTCATTATCCTAACTTTACACATGGAGAGGTGAGGTGCAGAGATATTTATTGCTGATGAGACTTACAGAATCAGATATGCCCACTGTTATCAAACGGCTAATTTTAAACCTTGAGCCTGATTTATTTTTACTTTTATCAAAACATTTTGCATTGCAATAGCGTATGGTGTACTCCAAGCACTTTTTTAGCTGACATCAACTATAGTTCTAGCCTCACTGGGCATTAAACTGAGAGTTTCATTAGTGGCCAAATGTGAAAATTTTCCTAGCGTTATAAAGGAGCCCTGTGGCACAAGCAGGAATAAAAATCAGCTCTTCAATATGGCAAAAGAATTGTTGCATTGAAATCCTGACTGGAGCCTCCTTCTAGGAGGCTACCAGGCAGAAGGATAATTTATTTACCTCTGTCTTTTAGTTTGACATTGATTTGAAATGAATGTACTTCACAGGAAGCTTCAAGAGTCAAGTCCTTTAGACAGTCTTCCAGTGTATTGTCACCTTTTGTCTTGTTCCTGTAAGATAGATAGTACTGTTTGAATTTCCAGAGATTACTGTGAGTCTATACTAGTAAGTTCAGCACTGTGTGTAAGGTATTCTGCCGAGATGGAGAATTGCTGTGGGTATTGATGTGGGAGTAGAGTATTTCTTAGGATCTTTTGGGGTAGAAATTTACATACTACAGAGCATATTGCAAAATGTCTTTAGGGTGCAGATTAGCAGGTTTGCCTGAAAGGAGCTTATATTTGCAGCATAAGTTGCATTATGAGTTTCTTCCCATCTTTCTAACAACCTAATAGCCTAACCGAATGATCTAACAGCCATTGAACCTCTCTCGTGTTCAGCTGCACTATGTGCAGATTTGAATACACAGGGAAAATGAGTTTCCTGTTCTGCAGAAATGGAGAGCTGTCGTCAGTTTTGTAGATACCTCCCGCACCACGTATTCATCGTAAAAGAGGGTGAGAAGGAGCATGCAGGACCAATTGTGCTTGTAGGTCGCCTTAAAGTATTAGGTCAGTGGTGAGCAGAACTGCCCAGTAATTGCTCTCTGCTGTCTTTTAAAGGAGCATCTGCATTTTCTGCCATCTGTCTTTTGAGGGAGAAAGTGTATCTTTAGATCAGCAACTGTTGTAGCTCTTTTGAGTGGATGTCACTGCTGCTTGTACAAATTCAAGAGTAGTTAAGAGTGTCACAGGAAGACTAGAAATATTCTCTGATCCCAGTATTCAGCACAGAGAGCTCCTGCAATCTCTGTAATAATGCTAAGTACTTTGTATGAGGAAGTGGCAATTATTTATAAAAAAAGAGAAAGGAGAATACCTGGAAATGATTACATTCTTTCATCAAATCGTGGTGCGTATTTCTGCAACTCTGCCTATATGTGAACGTGTACCAGACCTACAGAGTTGTTGGATGCTTAGCACAGCTGAATGCAGTTCTTTAATGCTAAGCATATTTTTAGTGGCCTGTTGTTGGCATGACACATAATTACCACATAACAAATGGAGGAAACAATGAAGTCACAGGCTTTGTATTATATATGAGACTGTGTGTGCATGTATATATAGACATATACACATATGTATGTATATGTGTATACATACATATACATGTACACACATATGTGTGTGTGTGTGTATGTATATGTGAAATATACCTGTCCTATACCTCACAAATAACTCTGGTTAATCCATGTAATTATCCAAGAGTAATTTTTTACTAATCAGAAAACTCCAAACAAAACAAAAATTCCACCTTTCTCAATAAATGAAGTGCCCTTTGAGTAGTTTCCCAACATTTTGACCATACGAAAGGCCCTGTTCATTCAGACTAGCTTTAAGTGGGCGTGAGAGATGGCTTCATATCCTCTCCTTGATGTTGAATGCAACTGGATGTTTATAGAAAACATTAAAAACGCACAGTATTTTCTTTCATAAGTACCCTCCCAGACCCTGAACAATGGAATCACTGTCAACAATCTGAAATTTGGGCAGATCAGTCAGCCCTGTTGTAATCAAACTTCTAATTGAAAGCTCTGTGAAACTTGCGTGAGCCCCAGATCAAGTTAGTTTATAGCACCCACATACATGACAACCTTGTTGTACTACTGTGTTCTGTTTTCATATTCCTTGTATTGTTTAGTCTTTTAGGGTAGGAACTTAGAAGTCTAGGAGGAAGAGAGTTGTATGAATAATTTGTATATTACCTATATGTAAGCAAGTACGAAAGTGTCATGGACTCAAAATTAGTATGCTATAGGTACACCATAGGGGTCCAGTTTTTCTCAGTGAGTTGATGGGTGCATTTGTGTTTGTACCATGCCGTACAAAACAGTTTCCATACCGTTTTGTAGCAACACACTGTTACTGTTCAGCCTAGTCAATTCTGAATTTTCAGATGTTCTCCACTAGGCAGCAGTCAGTAGAGCTTAAAAGCACAGCAAAGACAAAATGGAAAGTTCTAACTAAGTTATGCCGTCTTTCAGCATAGCTTCTAACTCAGAAGTTAGGCAGGAATCAAACTCATTGTTTGATTATTAAACATCATAGCCTTATATTGTAATTTAGGTAGAGAACCTGTATTACAAAGTGCATGAAAGCATTATTCTTGCTGAATTTTGTAGTAAACATGAGGTTCATAAAGTCTTTATGTCCGTAAAACATTTAGTTAATGAAAGTCAAACATGGATAAAAACAATTTACTCTGATTTACAGACTCCCTTCATCTGGAAACAGCTGCTTAATGTTCTTCTTAAAAACACAGCTTGATTCTTTCAGTATTAACAAGCTATTATTGTGAGTTATATCCCTCTTTCAGTGCATAAATTCACTTAAAGTGAATGTAGAGAAGTTTATAAAATGCAAGCTTAATGTTGTTGTAACATATGTTGCAAGCTTTTTAACAGTGACAGTTTTGATGAAAGACATTTCTGCTTTGCTCTCATAAATAAAGCGTTCTTCTTGCTTGCCCTGCTTTTTAATGTCTAAGAATCTGTGTCCCCTCTGAATGCCTCAATAAACTGTAACAAGATTATAGGAGAAGCATAATAGACCCTGGTTTGTGTTTTCAGCCTTAAATTCATTTATTCTTAAGAGAAGTCAGACAAATGTATCTCTAAGTCTGAAATAGCTTTGAGCTAGAAAATTGTCAAAAACAGAAAAGAAATCCTACTTGTTGAATCTTAGTTATAACCTAGAGATTTACCAAACGGCTAGTTGTATAGTCTTGTTATTTGTGCTGCACTTTCTTTGGCTCTTTATTTGATGGCTACAGAAGCAGCTGGGTTTGGTTTGGTTTTATCCATCAAATTGTTTTGACTGTTTTTTCAGGCAAAATTCATGCAAACTTCGTAACAGATCGAATCATTATTTTGTGCCCTTTTTTTCCCCAGGAGAAAAAATGCATGCAAGCTCTCCAAGATAAAACACATTTTAAGTTTTCCCTTCAAATAAAAATCCTATTTATAGCTATGATAGGTTAGAATTGTTAAACTTCTATGTATGGTCCGATCTTGAATTGTGCTGGCCTAGCAACATATGAAATATAAACTAAAAACAACATTCCGTCTCCATCTGATGGCCTGAGAGCATCACAACCCCAGGATGCAAAGAGACTGCTTAGACTGTTAATCGCAAGAAACAGCACATGTCCTTGGAAGTTGTTTTCTCTGCATCTGTCTTTTGTTTATTTTACTTTCCTGAGCATCTCATGAAAAGATGAGCTGTGAGCCAAATAATGGACTAACTGAAAGCATGTAGGGTATCTTCAAAGACTTGTCCTTTTCTGAAAATGATTTGTTTTTCTTTTCTTCTCGTATTTCAGCACATCAGTAGCCAAGATGTGCTTAATAAGTTTACATGCAGTAAGCATTATGCCAAAGTTCTCTTCATGACTTGTTGCAGGGTGGGGCCTTCTTTTATGATTTAAGGTGGTATTTGTCATGATTTATAGAGCGGGAGAAAGTAAAATAGAAAGAAATATTCCATAACAAGTAATGTGAGAAAAATGTTCCTTATAGACAATCAACAGTGACTTACAAGAAGGCAGTTTGATTTTTAAATTCAGCATCTTAACTGTTAATTTTATCTTTTTCATGAGGATAAAAGTATTCTAGGCAAATATTTTGTTTTCTTTTTATAACTTTTGTTACTTTAATATGTCTATTGACGTATTATTTAATGCCATTTCTAGGTTGACCGCCAATCCCAGTTTATTCAGGGCTACCGAGTAATGTATCGCCAAACGTCTGGCCTACCTTCTCCAGCTGTATGGCAGAATTTGGAGGTTAAAGTCCCAACTGAGCGCAGTGCTGTCCTCATCAGCTTGAAAAAGGGGGTCACTTACGAAATTAAAGTTCGCCCTTATTTCAATGAATTCCAAGGAATGGACAGTGAATCAAAGTCTGCTCGTACCACAGAGGAAGGTTAGTAAAATGGTCAGAAAAGCAACAGGCTTCCATATCTAGCACTGGAGGTGAAATCAAGAGTGATCATTTTGGTTATTGTGTGTATGCATATGTTCAGCTCTATTTCTTCCACATGATTTATGTTTGTTAGATATAGGGTTGGCATTAGAATTCGTTATAATATTCAGTTTTGTGCTGTAAGTATTCCATGAGAAAGCACTGGTCCAGTCCTATATTCTTCTGGCTGATACGTCCTTCTAATGTACAGGTGGCTTTGGGTCTTCCAAAAAGTGTGCACTGCAGCCGTTCTTTCACAGCCAGTGTTGCTGCAATAAAAGACTTTGGTCTGCACTTTGAAAATAAAACTAATAAATGAAACCTTTTACAGATGAGTGTTTGATATTAAGCACATCTTTCTGAATAGGTAATAATGTAGATGAACTGTTTGGTTGGGAAATGGGGACTAGTGAAGGATAGATATTTAACTAGTCTTAAGGAACTCCAGTCTCAAGGGCCTGCCACTTTATTGTTTCTGTTAGCACACCGTTCATGAAACTGCCCTATTTAGTCCTTTGGAGGGTTTCCTTAAGTACCTTTCAAGCCTCTGTGAAACATGCAGGATGCAGACATAGTAAACAGTTTACACTACTGAAATGGACAAGCATTTATATCTATAGCATGTAGCATGGTATATAGTTTTGCTAAAACATATGCACCCCAGGACTGCTTTTTTATTGAAAAGTAGATGGAGTGAGGTGAGATACAAGTAATTTTTATCTTTTTCTCTTAGAAATGTACAAGAAACTGATCTTTCTACCTATCTCATGCAACCTTTGCCTGGAGAATCTCTCCTGTAAATGTAGAAGGATGATCGTAACAATAAGGGTTCATCTTCTCTGTTTCATTGATTTCTTTCAAAGCAAGGGAAAGAAATACTGGTGAAGTTTCAAAATGCTTATATGGTTTCGGTGGGTTTTGAGTACACTCTTACCTTCCTATTGAAGATGCATCTTAATAATTTAAACTAGTCTCCTGAGGTTTAATTTAGTGCTGATTGCCAAGTATACTTTTTAATTCCAGAATGGACTTGCTTATTACTCACTTTTCTCTTTGATTTGTTACGATTATTGCCCAACAAGTAGGTAATCCTGAAGATAACTTGGTTGTCGTTCGTACTTTATAGATGAGGAAATTCAGTGTCAACATGTAGAAGAGCGTGTAGGAAGGCATTGTTCAAGTCTGATTTAGATTTAGGACTTTATAGTTCCCATTTCTTTGTTCAGACTACAAAGCCTAAATCAGTCGGCAAAGAATATCTTTGCAGCAGTCTGAATAAAGCTTAAAAAAAAAAAAAAAAGGAAAATTGAAAAAAGCTTTCTACAGGTGAAATTGCTTTTCTAGAGTTAAAATGTAGGATTTTGTCCCCTCACTAGCAGATTTTCTTCCTGTCCAATTTCAATTGATTTTTGTTGTTTATTTAGTTCATCTAACTGTTTCTTGCTAAGGGTAAATTAAGAACTACTGAAAAAGAGAGAAGATTTTGTACCTTCTGTCTATTTCCATAAAATACTTGAGGAATGACATTTTCTTTTATAAACCTCAGCTCCCAGCAGAGCCTGTCAGTTAATTTCCTACTTTAAAGGCCACGTTGTTCATGTGGAATGACTTTCCACATGGTGAAGATTTAAAAAACTTTTCTTGCCTACAGATATGTATAACTCTCAGCCTAGGATCCACTTTGTAGTTTAATATCACCTTCAAGGAGTCTGTTTACAAGTATATCTCTCAAAAAAACATCAGCCTATAACACGAAGTATTATCATCAGACAAATGTCAGCCCCCATAAATAATTTTTCCTCTTGCTTGGGTGATAAAGTTAAGTACTTCCATGAGAAAATTAAGACATTCAGTTGGTGCAGTTCTACAGATACTTCCTTTAATTCCTCACATTATCTTTGTAATTATATCGGTGTTCATTTATTTCCAAAATAACATCAACTAAATGTTTAATGACAGTGGTTTGCTTCTCATCCAATGAAGAAAGATGGCAGTCTATTTAAAGGTATCCCACTTGCTGTGTCGCCTGTGATTTCATTTCGAAAATGAGCTTTTTTAGACTTGACTTTTAAAAAATGTCAGCCATACTATTTTTAGAAAATAATTTGGAAGAGTGATACGTGCGTGGGAAGTTTTTTGCGACATCAAAACAAATAGCCCTGGTAAAGGCAAAGTACGACCAAAAGGTAGTGGCAGCTTTCTGCTGGATTGAATTTTGCATGCAATGTTACTTCTGAGGCCTACCTCCAGAAATCAATTTTGCTGCAGTTAGACTTTTCCTCTAGATCAGACATTTGTCACAGTTCAGTATCCATCCATCTCCTGCCTCTTTGGCCTTGTGAAGGTAACAAATGGAATTCTGTTTGGCTGCGTCTGGAAAAGATGAGCAGCGATTTGGGTTCTTTCATATCTGTAAGAAGAAGCTGAGCACTGGAATAATTGACCTGTCAAGAAGCAGGCAAGGTGTTCTCCACAAGCCAGCAGCAAGGGAAATGAGAAAATGGTTTTAAAAATGTTATTTTTCAATGTGGTCTATTTAATAACTTCAGCAGTGTCAGACAAGTGGCTTAATTTATATCATGGTGCCAGCTTACAGAGTGATATTATCAGAGAGAGGAAGCAGAACTGTTATATACATATATGTGTATGCACATACAAAAAGAAGCTAAATAAAATATTTTATTTCCTAATTTTCACACTTGCTCTAAAGATAGATGATTTTTTTTCAATTACATCCACTGTTTAAATCTCTTTTAGAATAACTTTGTGGAGTAGTATTTGTTCTGCATATTATTTGTCACTACAAAAATATGGCAGTCGGTAATGGAAGTCTCCTTCGTTTTTATCAACTGCTGTCTGTCAATTGCTTCTTGCCTTAGTGCAGCTCTTAAAATGATACTTTCAGCTGCATTCATCAGCTGCAATTTTAATTTTGCTTCAAACTTACCATATATCCTCAAAAAAAAAAAAAAAGACACACACTGGTAGAATATTAACTAGAGTATTTGTGCAGTTTAAATGAAAAGACAAATGAATACAATATATTTTTCTTTAAATGTTAGAGTACGGTATTCATTTTACATTTCTTTAGCATTTACTCTCCCCCTGTCCTGTGTTTCCAGGTATGTGTATATAAGAAATTATATTTCTGAATGCCCTTTGCATTTGAGGATGAAAGTAAATACATTTCAGCAAGTTGTTCCATTGTACTTAAAAACAAAACTGAGTTATAGAGTGTTAAGCTTTGCCATTTTTATGATTATTATTTTAATGTAAAATGTTGTTCTAGTTAATATCGCACATATACATTTATTCATGGTTCTATTGTTACTGAATAACTTGAAGACTTTTAAAATGCTAATTTTTTTACTGTGTGGCAAATTATTTCACTTGCCATAAAATACACAATGCAACTATTAACTTCACCAATTTTATACTTTGCACGATTGCAAGGAGTAGCCCAAGGCCACCTTTCCGTGCTTCACTAAGAGTCAAATTGTCCACAATACAGCTCCAGTACATTGTTTCTCTGCATCATTCAAGGTCACAAGGACTCTACCAAGCACTGTTTACTTTGCAGCTGAACCAGCACCTGAAAATGTAGTTGTCAAAATGTGCAGCCTCACAGGACAGTAATGCATTTTTTGTTTTTCCTCTAAAATATTTTTTTCTGATGTAATCTTGTACGGTCCCTTTTCCCCACCTCTGATACCCTAGTTTTAAGTTGTGTGATTCCTGCAACAGGCTACTCCAACTCTTCAGGGTTATCAGGGAAAGGATTTGAGCTCGGCTCCTTGAGCCTGTGCCAGGTCAAGTGCTGAGGAGCATCTGAAGTGGGAACATAGCCAGTCTCAAAGAGGCCACGGGGAACAATAAGGAAATCTGAATTGACTCAGGCCACTTGTCTGATATCTGTGGCTGTGTTTAGTTGTGTTAAACCTGCCAGACTTTAATACGAAGATGTCAGTGGCTCTTTGCTTTTCCGAGAAGCGTGGTCCAAGGATGTTCATGCAGTCAGGAATATCTGTTAAAGATAAGACTAGAGTCCTGTTGCCATAGAGCTTAGCAGTGAAGGAGTCCTCTCTGGATAGGAGTGCTCTAGACCAGGGGACTGGAGTCAGGGAGCCGTGACACATGACGTGAGATGCCCAAAACCAGAGGGCTATCTAGATTTGAAATTGGGGCAGCAGAGAGTGATAGATATTATAGGTTCTGGTACAAGGTCTACTATAAGTCTTCAAAATAAGCTTCCATATTTCATATTAAATGTTTTAAGATCGTATTACAGGCGATGACAAATATGTGGAAGAAAAATTCCATAAGGAGTTATTAAACACAAAGACATCGCCCTGGAACAGAAAGTGTCTAAGCAACAGGCTTCTGTGAATTGGAAAATTGTCCTGGAGAGGTATCACTATATGCTTGCTTTATGAGTTCACACTTTCCTAGCCTCTTTCTATTAGTTTTTTTGAAGACTGGATAGGTGGACTGAGATAAATGAACTAGATGGATCCTAGGACCAGTTCAGTGCAGCTGTTATCAATATTTTTTTTCCCCAGGGACTATACCTTAATATAATACACTTGACTTTGGAGACTTAGCTTGCCACTGCTGTGGAGTTTCAACACTTGCCTAGAAGTAAGGGAGGGGAGAGGGGGAGCTGCAAGAAGTTTTAAGTGGCTGAGGAGGGACACGTGCCACAGCCCTCTGCCGTGGCAGCTTTAGCTATGGTCGGAGAGCCCCTGCGTGGAGATGCAGCAGATTCTCACAGAGGGGACTTCTCCGTAGCGGAGCTGCTGCGCCACTTCCCAAACAACATGTCCTGAGCCAACAAAAGCACCCTGCTGCTGGTGTAGCTGCAAGAGGGGCTTTGCCAGCATGGCTCTGATCACTAACAGCGGTGATTTTTTTTTTCACATTTCTAGCCAATCTAGCAGGGCTGGCAAGCAATTGTCTTGTAGATATGGCCTTGATATGCAGTGACTAACCAAACAGCTGTGAATGGTTGAACTGAACAGGACTCTGAAGACAAAGCAATTTGCCAAGGGAAAAGAGGCCATAAGTATACATCTGACCTAACTTAGCATCTCCCCATTCACTGGCATTTCATGTAAAGCCCTGAACAGTTTAACCCCTTTCCACCTAGGAGTTGCAAGGTTTTATGTTTAAAGCTGTTAAGTTATTGTCTTCCTGGAGAACCAACAGGAAACAAAAAAAGATCCTTAACCGTCTGCTGCTCACATTATTATTAGACCATGTGGGGAAAGAAAAATCAAAGCACTTTTCAGACCAGGTGAAGCAGCCTCACATTATGACTTAGTTGATATATTCATAGCTATCCATGCGTATTATGGAAAACAATGCAAGTGTGAGAATAATTCCAATGCAAACTTAAAAAATGCTAAATATAAATAAATCAGGAATGATTTGTATTGATTCTCCATTGCCACAAATTTCACACTGTCATTCAGCGCTATGCTTCTCTTCAGAAAGGCATTTTTCAAAATCATCAGTGCCTAACAAAATGTGCATACCTAGGCCTGCAGGGAGTGTGAACTTTGTATACTGTCTGCTTGCTCTTACACTGTTTCAGCAAAATTTGTGCTCTAGCAAATGGATTAATGTCTTGCTTCTGTTTGTTCCCTCTCCTTGGTGTAGCTCCAAGTGCCCCTCCTCAGTCTGTTACTGTCCTGTCAGTTGGAAACCACAACAGCACAAGCATCAGCATCTCCTGGGATCCTCCCCCTCCAGATCATCAGAATGGAGTCATCCAGGAATATAAGGTAGAAAGGATGTCTAACGGGAGGGTTGTGTGTTTAAGGAAACAGCCTGTCTGAATTTAAGGATTTAGATGCTGACAGCATTTACAGCTGCGCATATAATTATATGGAGAAAGAGGACTGACTGCTTATGATTTTTTTTTTTTTTTTAAAGCAGTATTACTGTTATATTAAAAGCAAAAATACCATGAGCTAGATCTGGAAGAGAGCTGTAATTGCCAGCTAGTTTATAGTGCTTCTCTTTCTTGCTTTTCCCTGCTGTGGAATGAGAAGAAGGGGGTTTTTTGTTAAGGGCTTCTGCACTCTCAAGACAGGCAGTGAAGTCCCTGTCTTAGAGTGTCTTCAATCTGGCAGAAAAGCTCGCAGGAAGGATACCTTTTCTTTCCCCTGGAAAAATGCTAATCCTAACACTTCAAGGTCAAATTCAAGGACTGTGGGTCTGGGAGGATACAAGACTTCTTCCAAGTACCACCTCTGTCAAGATTCACAACTTAAAGTGCTAGGTTGTTTGCTCTGAGGAACAGGCTGAACACCACTCTATATCCAGAGTTTGTTACACGAGAGTTGCCTGCATTGGTTGTATTTTCTCTTTCTTTGTTGCTATGATGGCTCAAAGTATCCACTCCTTATATATCATCTTAAATTTTGTTGTAGTTTATAATCCCCACTAAGGTCACTTTGGCACAAGTATATTTTCACAACATGGAAAAAGTGCAGTGTGTTATTGGGGTGGAGGACTATGGAGAAAATGATCAGACAAGGTTCAGCATTGTCACAGGCTTGTGACCATGGAACACAGTTAAATGGCTTTGCTGTGGCTGGCTTGTATACCTAGTGTGAAATTTTTAATTGAAATAGAGCAGGGCAGCTTTCTTGACAGTCCCACAAAGAGTGGAAGTGGTGGATGCAGCTTATTTCACACAAAAAGATGTAATTTTTTTTTCCCTGCTGTATCTTGAGAGAACACAGCATCAGGAAGGGAGAAAGTGCTTTACTTTCAAATCAACTAATGGTTGAACCTCTTCCAGCTTATTGCTTGGTCAGAGGGATGCGGTAAATGCTCATAATATTTATGTTTAGCATAGCACTTCTTTTGTTTTCTTTTTAGTCAATATCAAGATTTATTAATCCCAGTATTTTATTGATCTCATTTTCATATCAATTAATAATTATCTTTTGGCTTAATTAATCTTGATACTGACACCAGTATAAGTCAATATTAACCATCAAGGGCTTATAAGCAAATAAGTAAAGCACATTCTTAAAGCACAAAATATGTAGATATGAAACAAAGTGGGCTGATGGTTAATAAAAGCCATGTTCCAGGTGAGTGCTCAGACCTCTAGGCTGTTTATAAAACCAGCTGGAGTCACTACCTATTACATCCCTTCTGTGTTAAGTTAGGTGGCTGCCTGATTAGTGAGCTGGCTACAGTGAATATAGTGCAAAGAGTCTAATACTTCCTTGAGTATAAAATGACTGCTAAGGTTTCACAGTACTTTTTCTAACAAATTGAATGTAGATCTGTTGATTCCACTAAAAGCATCAGAGCGCCTGTAAATTCATTTATGAATTAAATGCCTTTGATTAGGGACATCTCTTAGCTGCTGTAACCTAAGACAAGGAGTGAAAGAATGAATGCAAGTTTCTCACCTTAATGTATTCTGGCCTGCAAATTAGATCTACTTGAGCTTAGGAGAACAAGGGTTTCTTTTGCCCTCCAAATTTTCCTTCGTGTTTCACAGAAAGAAGATAAGGTGTGGTAAGACACTGTGCAGGATCAAAAATAACAGTAAAGGGAGCATTGCTGTTACTTAGACACATCTGCTATTATAATTATGTAGTGTACATGTGATATCTTTATACATTGATTTTCCTGAGTGGTAGTAAATGCTTTCTTTAATAATACAGAAGCATTATATGCAGATAACATTAACTGAAGAAAAGCCCTAAAAGATCTCAGTTTTGAAACTTCTTGGGAAAAGCCCATGGAAAAATGCAAGACAGAGACATAACACTCTGAAATCATAGACCATTCTCATCACAAAATGCCAATTGAGATTATAGAGGTTTTTTTCTGTTTAATTAGAGAGTAATTGAGTCAGGAACTGATATCTGGATTCCTGAACAAAAGCAGCAGTAAAAAGTGAGTTTGTACTTATTCTATTTCAGAAATTTCACATATCGCTGTTGTGCAGTGAAAGGAAGTTGAAAAGAATTTTGAAAATTGTTTCTTCTTTAGTACTTTGAGAAGTGTTTCAACCTGTGATTGTATTATTTGGTGTCCTTTTGCTATTCAGTGGAAAATTAAGAATGAAAAAATGTGAGGGTTTTTAGGAAAGGTTTGGTGGTAATCATATTACTGAACAAGATTTCAATTAATGTATAATGCCTCTTTTTCACTTGGATGATTCTGGTCTGTGCTTCTAAGAAGTGTAACAGCAGAATTTGCACTCCATGGAGAGCCAGAGTCCAGAGAGGTATTTGCAAGCAGTCTTTGCAGCTGGCTTGGTCCTGTGCTAATCTGGGATAGCTTGCTGAGCTAAATCATCCCAATTCCAACTACTCCTGGACAGTAACATTGTTAAGAAGTCCAAAATAAATGATTGTCATGCAATACCTTGATATGTCATATCTATGCGCAATTGTTTATGAGTATGAAGAATTTCGTATTTTTTAACACATCAACTTTTGTCCCAGATCTGGTGCCTAGGTAATGAGACTCGATTTCATATCAACAAAACAGTAGATGCAGCCATTCGGTCTGTAGTAATAGGTGGCCTATATCCAGGTATTCAGTACCGTGTGGAAGTTGCTGCAAGCACCAGTGCAGGTGTGGGAGTAAAAAGTGAGCCACAACCCATAATAATCGGTAAGTGATTGTCTGTTTTGTTGTTTTGTTTTGCCTGTTTTGACTTTCAGAAATGCTTTCATAAATCACTTCTGGAAGCATAAAAATCCATGGAGCAAAAGACGAGATTTGAATAGAGCTAGTTACTTAGCTTTTAATGTCCAACTGCCTGCTGACGTTGTGTCTTCTCTTTGTGCAGAGTTCTCGCAGCCAATGGAGGGAAATATGCTCCCGAGACATATGAGAAAATGCAGATTATCTAGTGAAACTGATTTAATTTATTTTTTATGAATTTACCACTTCTGCAGGTTGATGGATTTATGGAACTAACAGCTTGAGCTCCCTTTTCCTCCTGTTCAGGTGACTGTAATATTGCCTTACTAGTACCGTTGGTGCCTAAGGCACTATTTACAGTAGGTTTTCTGAACATTTGAAGTCAGTGTTTCTCAGGTATCCCAAGCAGATGAGCTTCCTCTGTCAAAGAATAAGTGGCCTCTAGTTCAAATAGACAGCAAAGGTAGTATTATCATGCCTGCCTTTGAAATGACTGTTTCTTAGTAGTGGTTTCCACGCTGAATTAATTTCCTGACCTGAGGGAAACACAGATTCTGTTTCTTCTGAAATTCTTCTCAAGTATAAAATATAAAGACAGGAACAGTATGGGAAGGGTAAGAACAGGAGAAGTAACCATATTTAGCAAAACTGAATTGAGCTGTGCAGAGCAGCACCTCTTTTGAGTGCGTCATATAGGGATTTTGTGGCTTTTAGCTGTATTATCTAATTTAGTTATTACTTAAATGTGCTTTTGTTTGGTTTTGGGTCTTTTGTTGTTATTAAATATTTTCTTTCTAGAAAATGTTGACAACACAATGTCCCAAACATGGGCTATTCTGTTATGTGCAGACCTTTAGAAAAGGCCATCCCTTAAGCATTGCTTAAATGTTTAATGATATTCAGGTTCCCTATGCATCAAAACAGAAATTGGGGTACGTCAGCTTTGAATTTACTATCACTGGAGAAGGAAATACAAGAGTGGAGGTGAAGGTAGCACTGGTTTTAGAAAAAGGCAGCCACAGAAACGCCAAAGAAAAGAGGAGAAAAAAGTTTTCTAGAACTGAAAGCAAGAAATTGATTTTTGAAAATGCAAGAAACCTGTCATCTAATAGGCCTGAATTTTGGACCTCTGTGTAAATAACTGATGTTGTGAGACTAGTTTGTCATTGCATTCGCTTTGAGCAGGGCTTCTTTTTCTTATTTCACTAGGGAGTCCATCTAGCTAGGTACTAAACACACTGGGCTTGTTCCAGCAAAACACTTAAGTGTGTTGCATTTTAAGCAAGTGAGTAGCCTTGTATCACTTAACATGTTGTGAGTTAAAATTGCACCAAAGTGCTTTTCTGGATGATTCCCAGAATGCTCAGCCCCGCATCTGAATACAGCCCTTCATCCTGACTTTTTCCTTACAAAAAATTACTAGTATAATCAAGAGATTATACTAGGGAGAGATCTCTATTGTTGCAGGAAGGAGGAAAGGGATGTTAGGATGCAAATAAAGTATGAAAGAAAGAAAGAAGGTATTTGGCATTTAGAGTCTTAATTTTCCATCGTTAAACTTAGTGATATTTATTTGTTCCTTAAATGATCCCAGAATGTCTGCTTCAACAAGTCTGTCTGGTGGCATCTTTGTGCAATTAAGTCTCCTTTGCATGAAAAGTAAAGAACAGTCTTTTCTGTTTGGGTTGTGTTTCTGTTCTCATTTCTGTTTTTCCTTTTGGGAGCCTAAAGCTGGATGTGATGATTACTTGTATGGTCTGTATCTCCCTTTTCTTTAGATCCCATTTTTCTATTGCTTATGAATTGCTGGCTCTTATTTCTCAGACTATAAATTTGCTTGATAAAGGTAACAGTGTTTAAGTGATACCATTTCTGGAAAATTTGAGTTGGTACCACTCGATGTTTGACTGACAATCAAGAACATAAAATAAGAAAATGAATTTTTTAGGTAAATTTAAAAAAAAAAAAATACACGGACCAAAAATGAGCTAATGAATAAACGTCAAAACATTATCACAAATAGGAAAATGTTATTAAGTGATTGTATTATAATGGAGTCCTATATGACCTGGAACTTAGCTATACTATTTAACAGCTTGCAAACAGAATGAAAAACTACAGAAATGCTGAATTATGGAGAGAGCGGGTCAGTGATGCAGAAGAGTTAAACCATGTTGCTAAACAGTACGACTTTCATTGTCATGAATTACAGAGTCCAGTGTATAAAAAGAAAGGTGTTATTCTTAAGCATAGGATATGTTCTTCTAAGAAGAAGGTTTTTTCTGAAAATAACTGATTTTCACAGTGGATAATCAACTACTGACTTCCCAGACCAATTCTAGATAACCCGTGACAATCCAGAAAGTAAAACCAGTAAAAAAGGAGAGTATGGAGCAGTAGGAAGTATATTATTTCTTTAGCTGGATACTGTGTCACTGTTACAGGAATCCTGTGCCCATACTTCAAGCAGGATGTTGAAAAATTTCATGGAATACTCAAAGAGAATCAAGAATAAAATTTTTATGATCACTATTGATATGCTAAAAAATTTCACTTCTGGAAAACCAGAAATAAAATTGGAGATAACGGCAATGTTGGTTAATGATATAGCTATTATTTCTCTCCATCAGTTGGCCTGTTCACTCTTATATTCCGTCATTGGCATAATAATATGAGGAACAGCTGCAAACTTTCACAGTAATAGGTACAATCGAATCTGATGTGTCTAATTAATTTTTGGTCCAACAAATTAGTTTTGTTCTTCATTACTCTCCAATGGGAGGAAGACATTGTATTTCATTATGTTTTTGTCTTCAGGAACAATGGAGCGTTACAGGTCGCACACTTCCCTTGTCTGTGTTCTAATTAGTTGAACTGACAGCATTGTTACAGAAACACCTGCAGTATTTGAAATAGTACACTGGTACCTTGGATGACATATTTATTACTTCTGCTTAAATATTATATAAAGAAACACAAAATTAATGCCGTTTGTTTCCCCAAACCCCAACGATTATATTAATTTTATCAAACATCAGTGGGTAACATTCATCTGTATCCATTTATTTTTCAGTCATCAAATTCACAAAGCATATGTTATTTTGACATTTAAATGAATTATTACTTTTGCAGTTGTAATTCCTAGGCACTGAAGGGTAAAAGCAAACAGCCAGACTGCAAACTTTAGAAGGTAATTTGGAGACAGATTGCTCCTTCCCCTAAAAGAGAAGGAGAGCGTAAAGTCTACTGAAAGCTGTCCCCAGGCTCTCTGCAGTTTGCTCTCACATCCTCCATTCTCAAAAGACTGGTTTCTGACCTTAGAGAAGAAAATGAGATCTTCAGACTTTTTGGAGGCTTTAACGGGAAGCAGTTCTTTTCTTGAGTCCAGGAGCGTCCGCTCCCGAAGCCGGTGTCTCTGAAGCGCTTCCCGGCCCGCTCTTCGCCACGGCAGCACAGCTGCCTCCGAAGCAGCGGCCGACATTACCTGTTTCCTCACCGTCCCGCTGCTTTTACCTCTCCTCCAAAGGGCACAGAAATTAACTGAAAGTTAATGGCAATTAGAGCAACATCAACTCCCGTGCTGATTTCTACTAGAAAATCAATTGTGTGCCTGGAAGAGCATGTCGTAGAGTGCCTCTTTCTATTAGTTTTACTCTCAGCACTTCCTCTTTCAGCACTATGGATTGGTTCCATGGGCAGAAAAAAGGGGGAAATCCGATAAAGGAGCCACTGCTGCCTCCCTTTTTTTCCTTCTCACAGGTGCTCACTGAGTTTTATTCTCACTTACTGCATCGGGACTGGAAACCGTCAGGCCTTTGGCAGCGGCAAGACAAAACAGGAAAGCACGGGGAAGGACAGCTGCAGCTACCAGGCCCTGACGCTAGTAAAGCTTACCAGCATGGCCAGTATAGACTGGTACACGATACCAGTGCTGGTGCACTGCCTTTTTATACATTAGCAGGCGTAGTCTGTCAGCATCCTTCTGTGGGACCTGTTTTGTTTGCGGGAAGCCTGTTTTGTTTCTTGCACAGAACTACTGAAAGCAAGCCAAGCTCAGCACAGTTTCAGCAGCCTGTGTGCAGAAGCAGACGGTCATCATTGCTAAATATTGACATGGTGCTGAAAGAGAGAAAGCTTAATAAAATGACCCAGATCACGAACAGTGTGATAGCAATGTAATGCAGTGCATCGCATTTCTTCTCGAGTAAGTCAGTCCGGCTCCAAACACAACTTGGGGCCTGAAGCTGTGTCTGGGCTGGGGCAGCGCTGGGGCAGAGCCGGTGCCCGGGGCTGGGGGCAGGCCGGGCAGGCAGCCACGCTCAGCCCCACGGGCCCTCTGGGAGGGGTCCTCAGTCGCAGCTTGGCTGGTGCAAACTCTGGGTCTTCTGCAAAGAGGTGTCCGTGGAAATAAAACTGGAAGTGTCAGACTTCTCGCATCTGCTTTAGCCAATGACCTTGTTTGCTTTAGGCTGAAGGCAGTGTGCTGACGTGGGGGCTGTTCTGTGGAAAGAAGTGAGCGGTAAATTTAACCGTTGCTGAATTATAGAAGAGGAATACGTACGTTTTCACAGCAAGGCATAATGATTTAATGATTTCCTCTGAATGACCATTTCAGTGTTTTATTGCTGTATTCTACTACCTTTACGTCTGTGCGATAGATTCTCATAATTGAGAATCATAGTATTTGCATCTTTTTTGTCTCAGCAGAGTAGCTACTCTTGCAGCTCTTCAGCATGCATACAGGCATCTGCTAATACTGCATAAACATTTCAAGGATTGAGCTGTATAAATGCTTTTACTGGAAATGATGGATAATTCTTTCACCAATTTCAAAACTGCAGATGTGGGCAGTTTATATCAAATGTACATATAATCAATATTCGTATTTTTTCAGAAAAATATGTTCCACATTTCCTAATTTTAAAACTAGCCATTTTTGACAAGGGAAGGTTTGAAGCAGAAAAGTGCCGGCCCTAGAACTATATGCTTTAGCATTTCCTGAATTTCCATTCACATTTTTTATGAGCATTTGTTTTCAAACCAGACACCAAGCTTTTCCTTTTAGAAAAGTTCCCTTTTAGAGAAAGAGGGGGAAAAAACCAATGGGAGCATCTACTGAAATTTACAGTTTTCTAATGTAATATACACAATTTAAGATCCTATATAGTAATTTTTGATACATGTCACTTTAATTGGTATTCCATGTCATAACTATTTCTTACAGGTTGATGTTAGCATTTTTTCATGCCTATTCTAGGTGAAAAAATTAGCATCTGTTGCTGTGATTGTTTAGAGCTTAACTACGCAATTTTCTACTTTCTGTCAAAGCTGGTGCACTTAGGATTTGTATGGATTGTTTTCCCCATGAAATAATTGCTGGAAAATGCATCTTTGCCCCAGTTGAAAATACATATATTTATTTTTTATTTTAAATTTGGAAACTCTAGCATGCAGCAAAAACAAATGAGTTAAGTAAGAATTTTTGTCATGCTGACAGCAACGAGAGAAGGAACTGTCTTTTGATGTTGTAAAATATTTTGTATTTGGATTTCTTATTGGAAAAAGCTATTATTGATTGCTTGATTTTTTTTTTTTTGATTGGTTTCCTATGATCCATTTTCTCATGATTGTATTTTGTCTATAATTATGCAAAACAAACCAACAAACATGTATATTGTTAAAAAAAAGGCTCTGGACTGCCATCTGTTAGATTACTTGGGAGAGTGCTATAGGGCTATCTTTTCAAATATATGTTTGCAAAATCACAATGGATTATGGATTTACTTTCTAGAAAGGTAATGGTTCTAGAATGGTTTTCAGGTGTGCATTGATACTCATTAAAGCTTTCCTACTGTGGATAATTCTTTTGAGGTGCATTACTGTTTTTTTTTAATTTTCATTTACAGTACTTGGTTCCTGTTTGTATTACAGAATCCATAATAACAACGCTCTGTTGAATTTCTTTTGTGCAGGAGGTCGTAACGAAGTTGTCATCACTGAAAATAACAACAGCATAACTGAGCAAATCACTGATGTTGTCAAACAGCCTGCCTTTATAGCTGGCATCGGTGGTGCATGTTGGGTAATTCTGATGGGTTTCAGCATCTGGCTGTACTGGCGCAGAAAGAAGAGGAAGGGGCTCAGCAATTATGCTGGTAAGAACAGTAACTATTTATTACCATCTCATCAGGTTCTGTCATGAAGAGAACAGGCACTGTTAAACCTACTTAAAAAACATGCTGAACTTACAGCAAAGGTGGCCTGGGTGAATTTTGTATGCTTGTTTTAAATGTATGCTGTGAAAATGCTGGTGTATGAGAAGCTTTATATGCATTGCTCGGTACCACATTTCATCATTATCATAAGACAGTCTTTATTTTTACATCTCCAGCACATCTAGCATAAAAAAGTACAAAGAGGATCAACTGTACCTCTTTCTCCTTGCTCAGAAGGCACTCTGTTAGCAGTCCAGCTCCATTTATGTGCTCAAATGTGAATTAGACTAGACCCTTACAAGGAAGGTTAGAAAGAGTATTTGGTCGTCGTCTTCTTCATTCCCATGCATTTCCATGTCTTTGAAGCCGTATGCATGGGAAATGAATGGAGGTACTTAATCGGTGACTCCATACCTATAGCTGGAGGAGAAGAGAGTGATGTATTAGACAGAGAAGTGTAGTCAAAATTTACCTATGGCAGAAGCCATAAAAAGTTTTGTCTTGGAGGTAGAACACCTTGGAATGCCCTCACAGCGTGATCCCTCTTGCACCAAATGTGTTGTTCCAGTTACAAATCAGTTCTTGAAAACTACATTTGGAAAAATAAATACATTTGCCAAATGAAAATATTTTCTTCCTCCCCCAACCTGTTTGTTTTGTGTATTATTCTGTGCTTCAGGATTCTTACAGATTTTTAGGAAGTCAGTTGAATTACCACAAAATAGGTCACTCTGAAGCCTAATTTAACACAAAAAAGCTGTTCTTCAGATATTGGGGTAGGTTCTCTTGTAGTGCTTATTAACATTTAAAAAGAGAAAACATTTCCTTTTTGAGCAAGATTTGCACAGTTGAGGACGCAGCACATTTAATGTTGACATTATATTACACTAAAGTTGTACTAGTACTCTTCTATTTAGAAGTTATCATGCGAACACGCGAACCCAAGGACACAGGTTCCCTAAGTGGCTGATCATCTCTAACAACTTGCCAAAAACCAACGTTCATTCCCTGCTCGCAGCCAAACAGTCCTATGCCTCCTCACCTTGGCGTTAGCCATCATCAGACTCCTCAATGTCCCAACTGGGCTCACTGAACCAGAAGGAAACTATTCTATGTTGGTTTTCAATCCTTCCTGCTGGGTTAGTTTTCCACTGGCTTAGTGAAACAAGGCAGCCCAAGAAGAAATCAGACAAGCAGTGGAAGCAGAGGGAGGAGAGACCCTTTCAGTGGGTGGCTCTTGGACTGACTCGGTTTCTGTGGAACCTCACCTTGCATCACCACGTGGCCTGTATCATTCATAGGTTACGCTTTTTGCTGAGGTGTTCTTTTCTTTCTTTTAACAGCAATGACTTTTACTCTCTGAGAGGTGGAGTGGTGTTAATTGAGAAACTAGTATATATCACACACACCTACATATGTATTTATATGAAGTATCAGTCTAGATCCCAAGATTTTTCATATTAAGAGACAGCTGTACTGTTATTCCTCCTAGGAAACAGTCCTATACGTAAACTTTGGACACAAGCTAAGACTACTCTTTTTTTTAAAAGCAGAATTGTTAGCTCTGTATGTGAAGTGGCATGTTGAGGGGGAGGAGATTGAGAGCAAAGTCTTTTATACCTTAAAATGCATAGCTGTAAATAATTATAACAGTCATTACAAACAGTGTGTCTCCTGCAACTCATTGCTTCTCATTGCTGCATCTAAGTGTGATGTAAACATTGCATCATGACACAGAATTCCCATCATCAGAATTATGAAATAGTGTATGCTTTCAGCAAGGAAAGTTCGTAACAGATCATGCGTGAAAATTCATCCTGATGTTTACAATTTGGACAACAGCATGTCCACACAGAAAGTCTTTAAATGTGACTGTCAAAATTCACTGCTCACCTTTCCAACCATCATTTCTCATTGGCTGCTGGCTGGTTAGTGCTTTAAGCTCAACTGTTATGTCCTGCTTATGATATTCAACCATAACTGAGTAAGTTCCAGAGGAAACTCTTGCCCTGCAATTAGCGCTTATTATCAGGGTGTGTAACTCACAATGTGTTTGCTTTCTTGTTTTGCAGTTCAGTCCTTCACCTTCACCCCTGCAGGTACTGTCCATTAGTCTGTCTCTTACCTCACCAACACGTCATTGCAAACATTAGCTAAGTGTTTATGAACATGTGAGATATGCAGAATTAAAACCAAATATAAGGAGAAATACTTCTGCTGCCTATTTGTGGTAAAAATGTAGCATTCATTCTCCTAGTGATTCCAGGGGAACATAAAATCTACCGCCATTAATGTCTCTGTCCTTATAATTCTGCATATTTCTTACTCATCTAATTCCTTGAAATAATGCAGTTTTGAAAGTAATTTGCAGGACAAGATGCTTGAGCTAACTTAACATAAACAAGCATTAGTTGTATGTAATTGAATTTTTATTTTAAAGCTCAAAAAAAGTATCTCGAACATTTTTGAAGATCTAACTGGAGAAATGGAACTTTCTTCCATTTAGCTTGTAGTTGGCCTTACCATGAGGTGTTCAGATCTTCAAGCTAGTGATTAATTAGCTAGTGATTAACCTAAGCACGCATTGCCTTTACAGTGTTTTTGAAATTGAAGCATCTGCTTTTTTTCTGCCTACCCAATTCAAAGCTGATATCCTAGTTTTCGTATCTTTAATAAATATAGCATACGGTAGACCATTACCGTGAGCATGATTAAAGATATGATTAAAGCAGGTTGCAAACAGCTTAGTCAACATATGGATAGCCAGGAAAAATAGAGTATACAATTAGTAGTAATAATTAATAGAAATAATTAGCTTCTGCTGTCATACCTAAGCTCGAGATTCAAAAACTCAAATGTAATTATACCTCAGTGTTACAGTGTAAAAGGCTGATAAACCTCAGCATTTTCCAGCAGAAGTCTGTAAAGTTTTCTGTGTGTAGCTTGGACCCTCGGTTGCGCTTACCAAAGCTGTCTCTTCTTCTGCCCCCTCTGCCATCCATGTGATAGAGGCCAGTCTTCCTACTGTGCTGCTGAATGCTTTCTCGCTGTTGCTTATCTTCAGCCACAGCTTGAGTGTTTAGCTTAGAAGGAAAGAGCGGATGACTGTCGAGGCAGATGAGCCAAGGTAGTGGTGTCTGCCCCAGGGGCCTGTGACATTATGAGGGAGAAGTGTCCTTGTGGAGAAGCTCTGGGGGCTCAGGAATTGCTCCTCTGGCTTCCGGGCAGGTTTGTTCAAGTTAGTGTCAGTTGTGGCACAACATATCCTACCCTAATCGCTTTACTTGCTTTTCTTTGTGACACAACATAAGATTATTTCCAAAATGAAATAATGCGTTTTTGCATTTGGTTCCTATGATTATGCCACTGTCAGCTGTCTGTAACTGTGGTGAGTTTTTTCCATTGTCTTTGTAGCATACATTGGCATGACACAGGGTTGTGCTGGAGCTACAGTGACTGTGCATGATTCAGTGCAGTTGATCCACATGTGCTGGGCAACTAGGATATGTCAGAGGCATTGCAAAAAATTTGTTTTTTTAAAAATAGTTTTGACTTCTCGTGGACTTTATAGAACTGTAACAGCATATAGTTCTATTTCCTGGCCTAAAATCATTTCTGGAGGTACTGAGAACCTAAGTCATCCTGTAGTCAAGTCCAAAAAAAGAATTATTAATTTAAAAAAATAATGTTGTTCTTATGAAAGAACATAGTCAATGTTTTTTATCTTTATACCCAGAGTTCCCTAAGAAACATCGTTAGTTCTCTAGTATTTGAATTTGCCATTGGTAATACCATTTCGACAAACATATCTATGCTTCTGGAGGTTTGATGACACTCACAACTGTTGTTCCCTTTAAAGTAATGATTCATGAACAGTTTGGTTTCAGATCTAAATATTTAGACAGTGGTATGTAGCTTTCGGAATCTCATCAGAGACAGCTGTCAATAAAGTTTACTAATGATGCATTTATCCTAATATACTCAGATTTTAGAAGGTGCATGCTTTTTGTTCAGACATCTGCTTTAAATTCTTGCTTCAGAAAGTCGCAGAATGTGCAGATTTGACTGTATAATAAAGAGAATTGAATGTATTAGTGGAAGATTGATATACTTACTCTATTTCAGACACAAAACAAAACTTTTTTTTTCAGTTATTTCTGACGTAAATGTTTTTTGTTTTGTTTTTCTTCAGTTGTATTTGCATATGTGTAGAACTTAAAACACTAAAAATAGTTGTTTCAAAGTCTGGATTCTGCAATTATATAATTACTGTTAAAAATGTTCTTTTGGGTCATTTTCAGATTATGGTTCATTCACTGGGACTATTTGTTATTTGTATTCTGTTATTAGGCTCCTAAGAGGTATAATTTTTGCTGTGTGACTAAACTACTGTAACATTCTGTAGGAGAAGAGCAAACAGCAAATGTCATGCAATTGGTAAAGATTTGTGCCAGAGAAGAATAATTGATTGAGTTAAATTCATTAAGCTTTCTGTCTTTGTGAACATTTTCATAAGCACTGATCGATTGCTCAGATGGTCACAAATAAAGGGACATTGAAAATCATAGCTAAATTTTTTTACTTATTTTCAGTTGAATTGACTCCAGTAGTTACTGAGCCACAATTCTGTACATCACTATTGCTCCACTTCCCTTTCTTCCATTATGACTCACCAGGCATTGATTCTCGGTAATATCAGTACTTCAAAACATATGATTTTCAACTATGTTTGTTAGATTACTACTGGTAAGTAGTAGTGTCATCATCTGCAGCTATACAAGAAGTATACATTTTCAAGACCGTGACATAATATCAGCAAAACCAAATCTGGCACAGAGACACTAAATACAAATGTTACCCCTTTTCCATCATCTGTTCTGTGATATAAAGGATGGATTGGTCTTACTTTTGTGAGTTTCTGTAAAAGCTAAAGTATTGCTGCACTGTTTTTTTTGTATTTTTATGGTTACCCTTTACTCAGATTACCTGGATATAGACATGCACTGTGGGTTTCATGATACAACAAAAGATAGATGGCACAAGAAGATGTATCTGACCACTTCTCGTATAATAGATGAATTGTTTCATTCCCGTATTACAATGACAGAACAGAATTTGTTTATTTTGTACTGGAAGTTGCAATTCTTTTTCCACATTTTGGTATAAGGACTTACACAACAAAGGCATGGAATCCATTTGTAGAAATACAAGAAATTTCATGTATCTGCTTATCCTTCCTGTGCCCTCAAACTCATTGTTGTGCCAGTACCCGCTCACTTGAATACTCAGGTGTTTTCAAGTGAAGCAAAGAAAGCATGCAAAGAAAGTAAATATGTATTTTCACTTGTGAGTAGGTAAGCTTATTTAGTGACTAGTGCTCCTTGGGATTAAAGATTTCATGAAACTGAGTAAATAAAAACAAATTTAAAATAGATAGAGAATTATGGATTGCTACACATTTTATGCACAACTCCTGAAAATGTTAAATGAGGATAAATTATTTGACAAAATCATCCAAAGGTAGGCAGAAGATTTGGTGGACTTTTTATATGCTGATTATCTGTTCTGAGTTAATGCTTATTAAAAGAGGATTAATCTACATTCATATTTGAGGAACAGCTTATCAGAAAAAAGAATGAGACTTGGCTGGCAACATTAAAGTTTTCATTTGCGGTAGGAAAATGTGGCCTACTAGAGATAGGCATACAGAAAGCTTTCTAAAGCTTTCTAAAGCTTTCTTGCCTTAGAATGTCAACTTACTATACATTCATATTTTTCCAATTCTAGCAGGCATGAAGATTAGGTTTAACCATGTCAGATAATATTAGTAAATGGTTTGGGTACTTCCTTATATATTTAATAGAAAGCATGTGAAAAGCTCCTTAACGTATGCTGTTCTTCATACAAATACATACAATATAATTTCCTTAAATATTTATCCATTTAAAATGCACTTTGGATTATATTTCTGCATTTTTACAGTCCTTGAAGTATAAGCTGGTGGGGATTCCTTCAAAATCTCTCTATGCAGAGGTTATTTTTTCATCTTCTTTTGAAAACCAATCTCATCCCTGCAGGTCTTCAGCCTTTCTAAGAACATATATCAGATGCAAAGAGTGCTGAAAGAGCTTTTTTGCTTCCTCGGTGATAAAAAGCAAGGGAGATGGGTGGGTCAGTGATAGGGACATCCTTCCCTTCCTCCTCTTACATTGCCCCTTGAAATTGCTCTGCTTCTTTCTGAAGTGGAGACAGGATGAATAAAGCCAACTGTGTGTTTTATTTTTACAGTGACATCTACAAGCCTGCATTGCATTAAGTATGCTCCTATTCAGGCATTTAGACTTGTTCTGTAATTGCAGAAATCAAACTGCAGGCAAAAATGCTGACAAAACAAAGATAAACATAGTGCTTGTGTTGGCAGCCTGACCATATCTTCTGTTGTTAGCTGTCTTTCCTTTCACAATATTGATGCTAAAAGAAAGGCACCTTCCTTATCCAGCCTCAGGTAGCCCATTTATGGATGGCATCAGGAATATGATTTTTTTTCTGTTACATCCTGATGACACGTCCACACTTCAAGAGGAATTTTGGCTAGCTTAGATGATATTCTGGAGACTTTTCCACCAAGAATAGTAACTAAAATACTTTCTTGTTTATTTTCTCATGAAATTTATAACCATTGGTATACAGGGTGGACGGTAAACGAAAGAACCTGCATTCCTTCCCAGTTCCATACACATCACATAAGCCAGGCACAGTCTTCGGCAGGAAAAACAATGTCACTGCAAGACAAGTTCTTTTTTTAATAAACTAAGCTGAATCTTTCTTCTAAAAACAGTGTTTGTATTGGGAGAGTGTAAGATTATTTAATGTAGGAGAAAACCAGGAAACAGTTACTACCACCAGGATACCACTACAGATAGAAGAAAAAAGAGTAAAGGCTGTGATACCTGTCTCTTCTCAACAAGCTCATATGCCATAGCCAATCTGCAGCAATTATGGCTCTAGCGAAGAGGTTTCAATGTCATGTCTTCTTGATATGTTTCTCACAGCATGCCTTGGAGTTTTTTCCATACCTCACTGCACGGAAAATAAAATGTGTCTGGCAAACATTGCTGCAATTTCCTACTAGCTTCCCCATTTTAGCTTTGCTTTACAAAGGTACACAAGGGATATAAATATTTTGAAGACCACAAGTATTGATTTTTGTTTTCCATATGACATGCATAGTTAAAATCTCACACACCTGTACGTGCTATACAAGTGGTGACAATATTACTTTAAAATTATTTCTGGTAGACAATAGTCTAAACAAGAGCATTAATCCCAAGAAGTTTTCAGAAAATATGTTTTACTGGAATTCCCTTAAATCTGTAAACTTTATTTATAAGGGTTGTTACCGAATGCACCTTTGTTTCTCATTTTCCTTATTTCTTGTTGCTTTGACAAATGCAGAAAGTTGGAGAAATGGAGTATTAAATTTGAAGGGGAGGAGGAGAAAGGAAACAGCATCTTAGGTACTTTTGAACAACACACTTTGAAGCATAGCCAGGCAGTACCCAGCTCTTTGCATATTCACACATGATATCCACAGCACTTCAGATGATTATTCACTTTTAAGCAATGAGTGATACAGTCATTTGACTGCCCATTAGAAACAACAATGAAACAACAATTTAGTGAATGAAAGTAGCATCAGCTCTAAAATTAATTAGCTGCGATGTTTTACCATGTCTTGTTTTTCAAAGCAGACTTTTCTTTAATACTTCCCATACTTGCATTTTGTTTTTATTAATTGGTTTGATTACATCCTTTCAAAATTCAGCTATTAACCATTTTGATGTGACATATGACTGCAGCGATTTTCTGATATTGATATTAGTCTGTTCTGCAGTGAAGGGTAATTAATCACCCTACCCAAGCACTCTTCCAGCAGGGCTTCCAGAGGGGCCAGTTTCGTCCCCTTTGCTGAATGTAGACTGTGAAATTATCCTAGGAGTTAACAAAGTGACAAGGATTCTACAAGGAGTCAGAAGTATTTTCCCAGGGGGTTTATGTCATTGCTAATTTTTTTAATGCTTACAGCATTTCTATTGGGTTTAGTAATTTTGTCTGATTAGAATGGTGTATAATAGAAAGCCTAATCTTGAATTAGTGTAGTTTGGAGTAATATTTGGAAAATCTTGCAAACGCTCTGGGAGCTATAATTTAATGATGGGAATATCTGTCTTACAGAGGCAAATAGTATTTCCAAACCAAGGCCTATTTTAAATTGAACTGGCCACAGACTCTTCCATTCCTCTCTGAAATTTGAACCCTCATCTTGTCAGGGGCCTGTAAAGATGCAGGTGTCTAGGACATTGATATAATTTAATAGTCTGCCTTATCTATGCCTGACAATAAATAATGGGATATTGCCACTGAGAACCAGAGTAGTTTGTTGGCCTTGATTCAAAATATTTGCCAGTGCTTCAAAAAGGAGCATCAAATGTTGTCAATTAGCATTTCACCAGTAATGTGGGTTTACCTATATTGCCCTGAAATGTAATCCTGTTGATAAGATAGATGAGGGATAGGCTGGGTTTTGTCAAACACCCATGAATGGAGCCATAAAAACAATTGTCTCCCTCTGAATGTATCCTTGGCATCCCCCATGGCAAGACTGGAAACACTTTTTCTTCCCAGTGATACTGGCGTGTATGCATTTATGTGTGGGTGCTGGTTTTTATACTGTACTTTTAATGGAAACGGTGCAGCTGTATGCTTTTTTTCGCCCCTTCAGCTCTAATAGAGCTGCTACCTCTTTGTATTTGTCCTAGGAAATGGCATATTTGTGTGGTGACATTATATTACTGCATTACAACATGATGTTATTAACTCGCTGGTGCAATGTCATTATATACTGAAGTAAAAGCATGCCAAGAAAACAATTTCATCACATGGCACAGTCTTGCAATGCAAAGTCAGATGAAGGGGCCTGTGGTAAATTCAGGCCTTTTATCCAGGCGGCTGGTTTGCCTTGCAAGCTGTGGGGCAAATTGATGTTAGTCAATAAGGTGCAGTGAAATCCTAAACAAATTGTAACCCTAACGTGTTTGATCCTTTTCTCATATTTTCTGTACTTGATCATGTGGTGATGCCAAGAGGCCTCCGATCTCAGACACTGAGCAGTTTGAATTGTTACTTTTAATTATTACTAATTGATTTTTCCCTGTCTTATATGTGTGTGTGCGTGTGTGTGTATGTTTGTTTGTTTTGTTTTTCCAACCAAAACACAGTCACTTTCCAAAGAGGAGATGGAGGACTAATGAGCAATGGAAGGTATGTTTCTTTGTGTAAAGGTCTTTCCGTCCTATTTCTGTTTAAAATTAGGGATCTGAAAAATGCTATAGGTGATGCACTTGGGTAATAACTGATCATTTGGAAGACTGACAGTGCTAGAAGGAGTTAAGTAGCTTACCACGAGGTTTAATGACCTATCTGTTGTGCACTTTGGAGGAATCAAGCCCAGATGTTTCATATCTCCCAGATGCCCTGGAAGAAATGAGTAGTAAATATCACAAGGAATGTGTTCATTTGTTACCGGGATGTTTATTGCATTAATTAGACATTAGCAAATGAAGTTGCTGTTGTTTAAGACTCCTTATTGGCCCCCCCTAAATTGCTGTGAGTGAACAATTACACTTAATCGATCACGAAATAATGATTCATGGATGATGAATAGGCTGTAGATTGATAGGACTGGATTCCACAACTTTAGCTACTCAATTGAAATTGATAAAAGCTGATAACGGGCCCATATATCCTCATCTATTTTCCCTTTGCCAATATGGAGATTGTAATTAGGCCCTGGTAATAACTTCCAATCTCCCGTTTAATCAATATTTTAGCAAAAAGAGATTAGGCCTAATGAGAGCGAGTAGATGTGGCAAGAAAGCGGCTGGGTCTTCTTATTGCCGTTTCCATAGAAACCGGTGTTTCTCTTAGGGATTGTGCCAGGCGGGGGTCTATAAGTACGATGATCGGAGATGTTGCTCCAACTTCATGAGTGCATTAATAACCTAGAAAAGCTGCAGAACTGTGGATGGTTTTTTGTTTTTGTTTGGGGGAAGAGGGTGTCTGCAGGAAATTATTTGTTTTCCCTGTTAAATATAAATACAAACAATCCACCTGCCTTGCTAAATTTCTGGCTGTTTATCCTGGGGTGAGAGAGACACGGTGCCTTATGGCCCGAGTGTACCTTCTCTTTCAACATCCTCGCTGTTTAATACTGCTCTCAAAGCTGGGAATTACAGGGATATAAAAGCCATGCAGTAGTGGCAGATAAAGATAGCGGTGGACTTTCCATTAATCCTCCTCAAACCTGTTTGCCTCTAAACCATCCAAGAGCGCTCAAAGAAAGTGTTACCAGCCTGTAGATGACAGGCGTGCATTTGGGATGCAAGGGAAGGAAGAAATAGTAGCCCAAAGTCCTGGAAATGGCTGATACGGAGCAATCAGTTTGAGTGATGGCTCCCTTGAGGTGGTAATTTATCATGCAGCCCTGGTGTAGGATCCCATGATGGTGCTGCCTAACCCCTGTTTCCCACAGACAACGGAGTTCATTTGGATTCTGGCAGAATCACGACGGATGCCTAGTCCCACTTCTACTGACAAAGTTGATTTGTATATATCCTTAATTAACTGCTCAAGGTCTTTAAATCATCAAAGGCTACACGATTTTAATTTGAAATAAATTAAAGTCTTCTAAACTGCTTTTTACCTACGGTGTTAGGAGAACAGTGATATGGTCTCTTCAATCATTAGTTGTCTCACAGATATTTTAATTTTGTAAAAAAAAAAAAAATATATATTTGTATGTATACCTTTTTTTCTTATTCTGCTTCAGTCGACCAGGTCTCTTGAATGCAAGTGACCCCAGTTATCCTTGGCTTGCAGACTCTTGGCCTGCCACAAGTCTGCCGGTAAACAACAGCACTAGTGGACCCAATGATCTTGGCAATTTCGGTCGTGGAGGTAGGCTTCATTTTATTAAGTCACGTATAGTATACAATAGGCTTCTGTTAGTTAACATATATGATAAACACTGTGTAATATTTTTATCGTTATAGTCCTTTCTATGTTTGACTCAAGATTTGATTTAAAATTTACTTTAAAATGTTCATTTTGCTTTGTCTCTTTCTACTTCTTTAAAATGTAGGTCTAGTTTGTAATTTACCCCACAGTGGTGAGACAGGGTCTGCTTATCATTTCAAGAGAAATGTATTTGTTGCTCAAACTCATTCCCTTTTGTGTGGAGATGAGCAATCTGCTGTGCAGGTCAATGTAGCCAGGGATAGAGGATGTCCATAAGAGCAGAGAAGAACTCGGGGCACGCAGACAGAAGAACATTGTTGCTGTCACCTTACCCATCAAAAACCTCTCAGTCTCAACCATAATCCATGAAGATGGCCTCAAAGGTCTTCAGAAACTTCCCTTCTTATTAGAGGAAAGAATACATAAACAGGAATTATTTAGATTTTTTAGGGTTTTATTTCCCTTTTGAATTGAGGGAGGCCCTTTGGGGAGATGAGGTAATGATTTATAATTATGGTGATGAATCTTTAGGGGGGTTATTTTCTTTCAAACATTTTACTCAAATGGGAATTTCAAGATGTATGATTGGGATTTTTAAAAGTCACAGTAATATTCACATCTCTCTCTTACTTTCTTGGTTTCTGTGATGTAACAGAGCTAGTTCTGCATAGTGGTGTTCAGAACAAGACTTCCTAACGTAAATGAGTATATAAATATTTTTAAGACATAAATAAGTAAACAAAAATCAAGACAACTTTATATATCAAAAATACATTAAAATGCAAAAAATCTATAAAACCATCAAACTGATAAATGTGAAAAGAATTCAGTTTTGAACTGTACTAGAATCTGCTTCTGAAAACCATCCCTCACATCGGTTATACGTTCCCATGCAAAACTTCTTGCCTGTGGTTTGACTACTGTGACTTCAAATTACAACAAAACACTCTAGATTTATTTTCCATAGAAAAATGTTGTAAAGCTCTTGTCTTACAAAAATATTATAAAGTAAGCAAAACTTTTGATTATTTAGAGGGCAACTGAATATCTACCAGCTTCTTTGTTGTGAATATCTTGAAAATAAAACCATTCAGTACTTTTCCATCTTTCCATAAGGTCACATAATACAGGAAAATTACCATTTTCTTTTAGCATTTAGCTCTATATGACTGAAACTGGAAGCATGTTTTCAAGCTTTTGGCTTCAATGTGGATGAGGCACAGGTCCAAATTTGTCCAAGAGATGCAACAGTTATATTTCCAATTTCAGCAGCTTAATTTCACCCATGATCTTTACAGTTGAGCTCACACTTTTATTCTGGCTGGTTTGGGACCACTTATCCCTATCTGTTTCAGCAGTTGAGTTTGGATGCTTCTGCATTAAAGATGGATTAGAAGTCAGATGTCTTTTAACATGAATTAACTGTATAGATAGAACTTGGGCCTCTTTTACTGGTTAAAAGGTCTGTGATGATATAAAGGTCGGTAAGAATTTTGAAAACAGTAAGGTGGCAATCAATCACTCTGGAAACTCAGAAGCTGAGGCAGGCAGTTCTAACATTGCATTTAAGAGTGAAATCCACATTATGTCCTAGAAAGGCATTTGAGAGGAAGGCTGTGAATGGGAAGCACAGGTCAGGTTTGGAGTCACATAAGGCCACAAAGTGGTACTGCATCTCCTGAGACAGCAAGAAAGAGCTTCCCTCAGGAAGTATTTCAGCACTATTTCATTTATCTCAAGAGTTACAAAACGAGTTGGATTTTGGAGAGTTTTTGGGAAAGCGTCCAGTGCGAAATGTGTCTTCATCTTTGGTCTGAAATGTACAGTGTGGTTTTTTTGCTATGACAACTTGATGGGAAAATCACACTTGATTTTTACTAGGTGATTATGGCACTTTGTAAAATGGCATTTTAATAGCTCGTTGAGTGCTTAGTGTATACATCTCATTGAGGTCAAAAAAGTAATCTGCGGTTGTACTGAAAATTCCCAGAATGTCTGGAGAACCTCAGCTTATTAGCAAGAACGACTGAAAATTCTTGGCTGGTGGGAAGCTGTGCAACTTTCCTTTCAAGTGGCTGCAAATATATAGTTCTCCATTTTAAAATGCCTGTATAGAGATGATACCTCTTCAGTTGCCAGAAACATGCTCTAAAAGATAGATGTATGTCTGAGTACTTGAGAGATGAGCATTTTGCTAGGTTTTACTTCTGTGAGTCTGCAAATCCAACACAGACACATTGAGCTGGACTTACTTCATTTTATACATCAACAACAGAATTCATTTACTAAACTTCAATCCATTATACTTTGATGAAACCAATTGTGGAAAGGAAAAATCTTCATACTGTGGATGAAATGCAAGAAAGATAGGACTGCTCTTGTCTTTCACATCTCATGCTGTATTTACACATAGATGCTTTTATGATTGTGTACTGCCCCTAGAAAACACACTGGATATGTGCAGATAGATAGTAATAACCTGATTTTGAAATATGACCTGTAGTTTGCATTGATTGTAATTTTTTGCACTTCAATTTATCTGCAGACATAAGTTAATACAATTAAGGCATTTTAAATACTTGATTGAGCCCATTTCCCTTTTGTTTTCTGCAAAAGAAGATCATACTGATAGACCCAAATTCAATCTCTGTTTCTGCAGTCTCTCTACTGAGCACTTGTTATTGCCATATTTATTGTTAATATTATGTTGTTGCCCTTAGACTGCAGATGTTATTAAGGTCCATATTAAAGTGTTCACTGTTGTACACATGCAGTAGAAAGTAGTCCAAATGTTCATCCCAAAAAAACCCCAAACAAACAAACAAAAAAACAGTGGGAAGAGGCCATGGTATCATATGTCATTACTGGAAAAGTCTTGAGACAGTGAGAGAACAACTGTATTCCCTGAGGTTGCACAAAACCCATGTCTGAGTCTGGAACTGAGCCTAAACCCTTGTCTAGGTGCAAGAATCATCTTTCCTCTTTGGGGCTTAAGGTCTATGAAAATTTCTGTGATATCTAGAATGGAATCTGAACATCCTCACTGGAGGAGTATGCATTCTCTCAAGTACTATCTAACAGTTGGAATCCATATCTGCCATACGGCTATATAAAGCAAATGGCATAGAAATGATGCATTTTTTAAACAAATAAATTCCAGAATGGATTCAACTTTTCAGAGCCTAAATAAATTGTAAAAATAGTACCATTTGATATATTGACCTCTGAGAGAGCAGGAAGAGGGTTATTTGTTGAGCTGTGGTTCTCCTTGGGATATCATGCCAGTCATCATTAGATTCTTCACACTTCAGTAATCTCAGCTTCTAAATCCAGTATTCCACCAGCAAAGGTCACTACGATGTTTAGTAAGGAGAGAGATTGCCTATCTAACTGATTAAAGGTACAAATTGCAGTGTGTGGTAGGATTAAAAAGATCTAGAAAAGTCAACAGGTATTTAGTTAAATATGGTGTACTGTTTTTCAGGTAAATGTACTGGAGTATTTGAACAAGTTGTTCTCCATTATCAACGCTGCTTTGCCATTTTAAGAGACTGATCACTTAAATCCCTTCAGAATAACAGATTTTCTTTCACATATTGGGAATAACTTGGTTTTGCCAGCTTTTTCTTTTGTTGAAAAGGAGAAACATGCTAGCTAATGTCAAAAAGAAAATTAGATAAGTTGATGCATAAAACTTCAAGGAAGTCAAGGTGATGCCCTTAAAAAATTGCTTTGAGAGCTTTGGCATCTGTTTAAGAGTTTTGCTACATATTTTCTGGGAAAGTTTCCTCTGTGATTTGTAGATTCACTCCTTTCATCATTTCCCTGAAGCCCAGACAGTTTCATTGGTTCTGACATAGAGTGAACAATTGAAAACATTCTTCAGTAGAGAAATATTCCAAACTTCACTTTCACAGTTGAAGGTATGGGAAAAAAAAAGATGGTTTTAGGCAGTGAGACGTGAAGGACAAGTGGTAGGCCTGTCACAGATGCTGATAGCTTGGTGACGGTTGTACATCATCTTCCCTTCATTGGCTCATGGACCTGTCTCAGCTGAAATGCAAACGTGCAAAATGACACATTTATTTTTCATCTTAAACCTTGATACTTTCAGGCTTCCTGTGCATCAATGATTTGTTTCATTCCCCTATGTTCACCACAGATGTGCTGCCACCAGTGCCAGGGCAAGGAGATAAAACCGCTACTATGCTGTCTGATGGAGCCATTTACAGCAGCATTGACTTCACTACAAAAACTAGTTACAACAGTTCCAGCCAAATAACGCAAGCCACGCCATATGCCACCACCCAGATACTGCATTCCAACAGCATCCATGAGTTGGCTGTCGACTTACCTGATCCTCAGTGGAAAAGCTCAATTCAGCAAAAAAATGACCTCATGGGATTCGGTTACTCTCTCCCAGACCAAGGCAAAGGCAATAATGGTAATTACAGCTCTTATTTTCCAGAGCCCTTGGCTTTATACTGTATCATCTATGCATGAATTAGAAAAATCTTTTTGGTATGTGAGACACTGTTCATATTTACCGTAACTAATGCTTACATACCTTGCATGCGTGCTGAATCGCACACAATCACAAAATATAGTTCCGTGCTTTTAATCCTCTTCGTCCTGTGCTAATCACCAAGCCATCTGCCTTCCATTAGGCTAGGATAGGTATACATTAAAAAAAAAAAAAAATTAAAACTTGCTGCCCTACCACATCTGCCGTTGATTTGCTAACTGCATGTGTTGCATGTGCTTGTGCTGTCAACTAATCACACGATGCCACTGTGACCTTTGCCCTTTAACCCTTAGCCTTGCTTTACATCCCTGACTACCGCGTGGCTGAGGGATTGGCTAATAGATTGCCACACAACCAGTCACAGGATTTCAGCACCACCAGCTCCCACAACAGCTCCGAAAGGAGTGGCAGCCTCTCAGGTTGGTTCCACCGCCGTGGGTGGGTGAGGGACGGAGGGGTGTTGGTGAGCAGCTCGCCGGGAGGTGGAAAACCTCCCAGGTGCACTTTGCGGATAGGTATGAGGGTGCCTGCCCACTGGAACGTCAGCGAACAGCGGCACGTTGGCCCCTACTGAAAAAAAATGCCTTTTGCAAAACCTGTTTGGAGATAATTGGAGAATCCTCCCAACCAGCTCTTGTCGGCGCAATTGCAAACCTTGCCTTGTCACATCCTTTCCCTGACAGCACAGTTCATGGAGCAAACGTATTTCCACATCAATCCTCAGTTTATAGGTCTCCCCACGCTGAACTTCATGAGGACATTAATATTTTTGTTGAGTTGTTAACAGATTCCCCACTTCCACGAGCTGTTTCGAAATGCTGTTTTCAGTAAAGCACCTCAGAAATAAATACAGGGCCTTGCAAGATGACTAGGGTTTCAAAAATTGTGCCAAGTCTGCATACAAACAGAATGTAAATTTTATGTGTGTGCTGCATGTTATATTGGAAACATGATGCATTTTCATTGGATGAAAATGATTGTAGTACATGTGGTTGTGTATTATATTTAAACACACCTTTTTCTTGATTTCTTTAATTTTGCTTACTTGTTGCTTATGTTATGTGTGACAATGTAATTTTGTTTTTCAAGACAAAAATTGAAAAGCCAGCAATTAAAATGAAAGTCTGCTATTTACTTAACTGAAATATGAGAGAGCTGAAAGGACTTAAATTTCAAATTCATGCTATATCTCTAGCCTTTTGAATTTCCACTATAAGTTGGAGCAGTCGTAACAGTAACAGATCAACCCTAGAAACGGCTTCTTTATGTCAATTTAAATGACTATTCAAATGGAATGTTGAGATTAGAAGCCTATAATCATTGGCCCATAACTCAAATAGCCAAATGTGTTTGCAAGTCTTGTGTTCTCATGGGGGGTATTAGCTGATTTGAGTGAGATTGAAAAATAAGCTTATGGCATTGACAGAGAGGGATCTGGGAGCTAAGTTCATACGATACTTCAAGAAAGGTTCTTGTTCCTTGTATGTGAGATGTATTGGCAAGTAGCTTAGGAAATCGGCTTGCTCCTCTGGCTGCATGAAAATGCAGAAATTGATATGCTGAGGTACATGTGTGCCAGTTATCAGAGGGCAGTATCACACTTCAGATGTGTTGACAGCTACAGCTGCCTAAGAATTTTCTCAGAAAATACAAAGTTTCATTGGAAAATTCCAGTTGATCAAAAGTTAGACTTTGAACAAATATTTCAAGTGAAACATATTTTGTGTAGTGTTTCTCAGTTTGAAGTAAATTTTCTGGTGACAGATGGAAACTTCAGGTTAGCCAGTCTTTCTATGGCCACGGCACTCCTGTTGTGATCAAAGCAGCTCACACCTGGGTGCCCCAATGCTCAGATGAGTGTCAGACTATTGGACTGCAGAGTCAGTATTTTGCTCTCCCTTGCCCACTAATTATGTCTTTAATACAGGCTAATCATGTCTGTAATACATGAGAAACTGGGGGAGACCTTCAAATAGTCCGATAATTAGTCCATCACTGGAGTCAGAGACAAGCTTTGATTATGTAGTCCCCATGAGGGTGAGCAGGGACTTGTTCTTTCACTTCCTTGGTTAGTACTTTAAGTACTACTTGTTATTCTGACAAAGTTTCTGTCTCTCTCAAATGAATATCATGAGAAATCCTGTCCCGCTGTGGAATGGAAAATAGCTAAAAACTCAACTGCTTTGTGAGGCAGAGAAATTTAGTGGCTGTACTTTGCACAGCTCCCAGCTTATGTCAGGGCTATGATCATCAGCCCGACTGGCAAATTCTTTTTTCAGGACCTGATTCATCTAGAGATTTAAACAATATAATTGAATTTCAGTGTAAGGAGACATTGAAGCGTCAAGCATCATTGCTATGGGGAAACAAGGCTTCGGTGCAACAGTTTTCAAACACACATCAGGCATTATGTATTAGGTGTCTGTTCCACTAGTCTGACAGTGGAGTAACTCTGCCCATGGGGACAGAAGAGAAATCTCCTGCCCAGCTGTACGGTGTAGGCTGCTTTCAACCTTGGAGTTCCTTTCTTTTATTTCTTCATCTGAACAGTTCTTCAGCTCTCTGCTTCACTCTTTCTGATAGCTCTGTTATCTTTGACTTTTGTCTCCAAAACACCCCAAATCCAAGTGACTCCATACTAGCACCCCACACATCCAACCTCCATTTTATCAGTTTCCTAAGATTACCAAGATGCTACACTTTCAAAATCTTCCTCTCCACCTCAACTAATCTCTAAGCTGAAGTTCTTCTCTGCATTTATCTTCTCTGAGTATTCCTAGTTTAAATCCCCCTGCAACACACACACATGCACACACACCCTCTTATGCATGTGCTTTCCTCCCAAAGCAGCCCCTCCTGCCTTAGCTCTTGTGGGCTCCTACTCCTGCTGACTTTTCAAAAATTCCCCCATGTCCCACAAATTAAAAATAACGTGCTTCTTTTGTACTGTTCTGAGACCCTATTTCTAACTCCGCTTTCTGCCATACCTGTGCTTTGAAAGCTTCATTTTCCCTCCAGAAGGTTCATGTATTTGTTCCTCCATTGCCACCATCACTGGGGTTTCTTTTCTGTTAATCAAAATGTTCTTCCCCTTTTCAAGAAAGCTTCCCTTTTTGCTGGGCTACAAAAGGAGGGCAGAGCCTGTCTTGCATCCTAATAGGTGGAATATCAGCTCAGTTTGCACATAGTGAATGACAGGATCTTGGCTGGACTTACTTAAATACTCCAAGATAAGCAAGGAAGAGCTCTGGTCTGGAATTGAGTAGTGGAAAGCAAAGTCTTGTTTGCAACGTGCTGCCAGCCAGGCTGATTAGAAACCTTGCCGGACTTGTTGCCTGTCTCTAGCAGCCACAACAGGAGGTGAAATGAGAAGTTTTGGCTACTTCTGAATCACAGAATCACCTTGTTTCTTCCCTCTGTATTCATTCCTATTTTGGTCCAGCTGACATTTGGAGATAACAGAAGAAAGCCGCTGTCTCTCAGACGAAAAATCCCATGACACGTGCTTGTCTCTATTGCTAGAATTGCACCTACTTCTGGATCTCTATGCCTAAAGCTAGAGCCATGGCAAAGAGGGTGGTGCCTGCCAGTGCACACCGTGCCACCCTGCCTTACAAGTCAGTTGTGATTTTTTTTTATTAGTTACTCATGGGTAATTTTTTATTAATTACTCATTAATTACATGGGGGTTTTTTTGGCTGATCCTTATAAATCAGCAAGAGATGTCAGTGGGTAAGATGGATTAGACTGTGCTTTCTGCAACAGGCAAGGGATGAGTGACTGCCATCTGGGTGTACCCCACTGAAAAAGCATATGACAAACCATTCTTCCACCCAACAATCCAGAGACCTTGAAAGCCACAACAAAATGGCAATAAATAGATGGGTCTCCAAACAGTCAAGGGATTTGAAATCTTGTGCCATTCTTCCTGTTAATGAATTCCTGACAAGAAAAAGGAGTCAGAGCAAAATAAAAGAAGTGAAACAAGTGGGAAGAGAGCTTTTTCTGTAAGATCACTTTCCCACAAATGGAAGTGTCTCAACTGGAGAAGTGGGTACAAGGATGATAAGAAAAGAGAAGAGGGCTTAAGCAAAATGCGTTGCTCACCTAATTTCTACTAGCTTCCTCCATTAGAGTTGTACATCAGAAATAGAACCTCTTCTCCATAGTGGCACAAGATATTTGAATCCTGTGAAACAAACAGTCCTAAAACATTGTGGATAACTTCCTGATGTTTTAAAAAAATGGAGCTTAGTAAATTCCTATCAGCAAAACCCTGTTTCTTTTTGTTTTGACAACTTACTTACACTTGTCATCCTGGCTGAAAGATATTGAGTCTAATGACAATTTTTTTAGATTGTGTCCTTAACCTCTGTATTTTCCACAGAAAGAGATTATGCAAAACAGTGTTATAAGCACATTGGATTCTGACATTTGAAATAATTTACTATGGTCTATTATATTTTTATCTAACAGTGAATTCAAGGAGTCATAAAGCAGACATGAGTAAATCAGCAAATATATTTCTGATAAAACAAAACATGTCTTTCCTTGGTTGTGTACTACTGTGGTGCAAACGTATAGAGTTTTAAAAAGAAGTGATTTTCAGCAATTATTCAGAATATTTTTCCATTACATTCTATTATTATTTATAACCTTATAACAGCATTAGCACATTGATGCTTATTCTGCTGAGATATAAATACATCTTCTTTTTTGGGGCATGCCATCTGGAATCAGAATTCTTTCAAAGAAATGTAAATAGCTGGCTTTTTTCCCCACATTATATCACTAAGATTTTATTTTTCTTTTTGGATTTGCAGGTGGCAAAGGAGGGAAAAAGAAGAAGAACAAAAATACTGCCAAGCCCCAGAAAAATAACGGTTCAAACTGGGCCAGTGTTCCCCTCCCACCCCCTCCCGTGCAGCCGCTTCCAGGCACAGAGCTGGAACACTATGGAGTGGATCAGCAAGAAGCAGGGTAATTTTTCTCTTTTTCTTTTGAAGAAAAATCTGTGGATTGCAGAGATGAGGCCTTTTTTTAAAAAATTTTGCTAAGTGACGATATTATTCTGTTTTGTTTTAAAAAAAAGGGAGAGAACACATTATCCTATAAACTTATTCAAGGCTATGGAGGAGGAATGGTTGAATAGCTTCTCTTGATAGTGACTGAGGATGGTAATAAAAGTGACCTTGCTTCATCATCATGTAGGGTTTCTCTGCTTACTTATGCTGAGAAGTATCTTGCTTCATAGGTAGCTTAATGGAATTCTCTTAGGACTGCTTGCAAATGATGGGACTCAGAGTGAGTAAGGATGCCATAATCTGGCTCCTTGTATTTTTTCACTGCTTTGATGTTTAAAAATATTAGAGCCAACAGAACAAAAAACCTCACACTAAATTGGATTAATTTTAGAAGATCAACCAGTGGATAATAATCTTTTCATCGGCTTTTAAAAGAAATTTCACCGTTGAGGAAGGCATGCTATTTATAGGCCTTTTTTTTTGTTATTTAAACAACTCTTGAGTTTCTGGAAACTTACGCTTATTTTTTGATAGCTTAAACATGTTCTCAAGGACACAAAATCACACAAAAATCACTAAATGAGAGGAAAGAGGCATTTCCTGCACAAAGAACAATTGTGGAATGCTTTTTAAAAAGTGAAATTTTATGTAATAGCAGGTTATCTAACTCTGGAGGAAAATTAGAATATATAGAAAAATAGTTTACTGTGGTCAGCTCTGTTGGAGCCTTTGAGAATCATTGTTCTGTCAGGGACAAATTTCTGCCTGTTTAAATACATGGATTAATCAATATTTCCTAAGGATGAAACATACGTTTTAAAAATCATTGTAATAGCTTTACTGAATAAAAATATTTCAAGTATTATGTCTTTTGTAAGCATGAATTGATCATCACTACTCTTATAATGAAAATTAGAAGAATTAAATATGAATATTTGCATTTATACCGAGTCCTTCAACTCTTAAAATGAATAATAACTAACTGTGTACGTCAGTGGAGTTCCTTTTAAAATGAAGGTCCACTCAGGCTGTATTAGAGTTAGAATTTCAAAGCAAATGCAAGGGAAAATGAATAACCTTACTGATTGTAAGTGTTGTTTAAAAGTCAAGGCAAAAAGTGCATGTAATCATTATGTTCTGTATTCTGTTATAAAAAGCTAAAATAAATTTAAAATGGTTTCACCATATAATATTTGTCTTCATCAGTTTATATCCTTAAAACACATGTACAGCCATTTCACTAAAATAATTATGCTATAGAAGGCAAACAACTTGGGTTTTCTTTCAGGACAATGAAATAGCATAAAAGGTAAATGGAAATACCTTCTAGAGAAATCCCTTGTGACACAGGACTTGACTCCTCAGTTGCATAAAGTATCTGTTATTGAGCTGGAAGGAACGATGTAGGTCACCAAGACAACAGTGGTTATTTAAGGATAAGGTAATCACCAGCCTTCCAGGTTCTGAACAATTCAGACTTAGTTTTTCCTCTGATTACCTTTTGAATTACTCTTCTCTGGTTTTTGTAATATCTCATTGCTAGTAGTTATAACAAGACCTTCTAAAGTGCATTTTACCAAACAAAAAAAAAATTTGAAGATTAGACTTAGAGTATCAGTCTTGAGTTACAGCAATTTGCAACCAACTTTGCTGAACCCAGTGAATCTGCAATGCCCATACTTCTGAGGATGTATCCAATACTAATGGTCATTCTGTATTCAGGGGTTAATCTTGTTTCTGTGATTTTCAACATGCTAAAATGGAATGAATCATAGACTGCATTCCTTATGTGGCCTTTAATATTGACATATTGGGTAAAAAAAAAAAAAGCAAGCAATTTTTTTAAACTCTTTTGGTTTTTTTTGATTTGCTTTGATGTATACTATGTATGACAAGTTCAATGTGTTTTAATTTTAGAATTAATTACATGTAGATGTAATTATATGGTGAATTACAATTGAAAAATGAACTTCCAGTCAGAAAAACTGAAGACTTTAATAAAGTTCTCACAATGTGATATGAAAGGTGAATGTTTAGAGCACTAAAATAAGGAAGCTGGCATCTAAACAGAGACTTATTTTTCTGTGCATGTCTTCCTATAACTCTTGAATTCAAACGTGAGTTTCATTGGCATGAGTATCCCAAATAAACTAAACAATTTTGACACCTTATTTTGCTTATTAGAAATTAACACTAGTGGCCTACTGGCTTATAAATTGTAAAAGAAAATCCACAATAACTGAGGTTTGCATTCACCTCCATTTTCCATGAACTGCAACAAATGTAAGGAAAGGTGAACGTGTTAATCCAAGAAGCCATTTTATATAATGTGGTAACTTTTGGGATGTCTTAAATTCCTATTTAACCTGTGCAGAAAGTCTGTTTATACTGTTGTTTCCCTAGCAAGCTCTTTCCTGTGCAACTTTCCCCTTTTTGTGGTCTTCTACAAACTCGTGCTTGTTCCTCGTTGTCTTCCTTAATTTTCTGTTGTATATACCGCAGAGTCTTTGAAGCTTCTCTTTTCCTGTAGTAGCTCCCAATCAAGCATGTTCCCTTTCCCATCCTTTTCAGAGAAGATGCTTTTGCTTGGTTTTATCTAATAAAAATGACAGTAAGGAAATGCTTATTACTTATTCATTATCATCTACTTACATTTTTTCACCAATAATATGCATGATCTTGAGCCAACCCCAGTAAAGGCAGTCTTCATATCGTTTTCATTGGTTATTTTTATTTCTTACTATTGATTCCACCTTAAAATAGAATATTAGCTGCTGGATGTCAATATATTTGGTAGTCATTTTCTGTTTTTAGAAAAAGTAAAGAAGGTAATAGCTTTTACATCAAAAAAATCCTCTCCGGCAAGGCCTAGATAGGGAAACTTTCTTTGTTGCAATGATGTGTGTAATGAAACAGAATTGTTATAGAATGTGCCCCTTATCTATCACATTTATTTTTTATTTTGAAAAAAAAAATCTATCAATGTAGTGAACCAAGCTTTTTAACAGCAAAAGATTACTATAGAATAAAAGTGCTGAGAATAGAATAAAAATTATTAGAAACATAGAGAGTCATGTTTGTTAACCAGAACTTATTTAGGGACTTAATTATCAGCAAAATTACTGTCAGAGGTCCTTAGTGAAGTTAAGGTGCTTAGACTTTAATAAGAAGTACTTGAAAAAGGTTGCATGCATTTTCACCAAGTTGTATTTACTCAGAAAACCAAAAAGAACATGGATGAGATCAATATTCACTATCCTGCTTCCAGAAGTTTCAATAACACTATCATTTATATGAGGTGTAGTTACTACATAGTCTGTTAGGCTTGCTAGCTTTTTCTTGCAGATTTTTTTTTTTTTTATTGTGTAAAATGCAGGTTAGAACTAGAGGCTTTTCAGACATCTTACATTATGAAGACAAAGGTTCTTGTACCTGAAATCTTGAATCTCAATGTCCTGACCTTCAGGCTTAGGCTCCTTTCCATTTCAAACAAAATCTCGGTAAAGGTAGGGTACTTGTGCAGAATCTTTTTACTAAGAAATCTTTTTACTATGAAGCTGAACATTTGGGGAATTGAAGCAAGTAGGCTCAAAAGGTGAGCACATCCAAAGCTCATTTATGCATTACTGAAAAGTCGCTAAGGAGTATCTTTCTGCCCTGCCCCTTTTAAAGAAGAAGCCATTATACCAAAGCATGAGGTTGAGAGAGTAAAAGTAAGTGACAGAGCTGTTGCACTGTACATTTTTAGCAGCATGAGTTAGGATGGTCCCTTCACTCTTGGGTGGCAATATCATGAGTGAATATTGCAAGGAAAGACAAATTAGAGCTAGTTATATCTTAATTGTCTCCTAAGGATTTGAATATGTATCATATAACATTTTCTTAAATCTCTGTGTTATGAAAATGGTAATGATCATTCACTCAAAAGCTCCTAAATGCCAAGTGTTAAGATGCAGCATTTATTTGCACCTCTGTACACGAATGTATGTTTGTGTATCTATATATGGTTATATCTAGATGTAGATTTAAAGTGATACCGGCCTTAATTACCAGATATGTCTTCCACAGACGTTTGGATGATTAAGTCAGGTTGTTTTAGCTATCCTGAATCTGTACTTCTAAATACAGACTACAGACTTTTGAATAAGGAAGTAGTAGTTTAGTTAATTTTAGAAATTTTGGGGTTTTGCTTAAAGTAAATGTTCTGTTCATAATACAGGTTTTGAAACTTTTCTGTCTCAGTGTTCCTAGCCTCTTTGTAACCCAACTTCACACTTGAAAAAATTGGCAGTGATTCATTTTTCTCTGGGAAATTGGTAATTCCTTCCTTCCAAATCAGGAGCCTTAAAGGAGTATTTTTAAACTGGTTTGAGAAATTAATTGTATAACGCAATGCATTTCCTGCCTGCATTGCAGACACGAGGGGTGTACCTTGTCAGCAGTCGTTGAAGGTGGAAAGAAGATAAAGTTACTTAGATGATGCTTGGAGAATGGCCTTTAGAGTGTGAGATGGACAGTGAAGGAGCTGTGAGAGCTTTTGGTTGTCTGGTTGCCTTTTGAAAAGAGCTGTCTAACCTGAAGTATTTTGGAATGCGCTGGGAGTGAAGAAGAAATGTGTGCAGATGCTCAAAAGATTGCAGACTGACTGGATGTTTTGAAGATGGGAAGAGTACACAGCATTGAGATTTGAGTGATGAGATCGTCAGCAGAGCTGTACACAACTGAAGTTATGTTCAGATTAGGGAATTGCTCTGGGGAGATAATGCACAGGGAATGACCACAGTCACTAGGGCCTGTGTGTCTTGGGTAATGCTGGTGTCTTAAGGGGCAGGGTCCTGGGATGATACTGTAATACAACACTGAACTGAAAGGTCTGTGATAAGGACAGAGACAGAAAAGGATTGAATTGCTGGAAAAGCTTGCATAAGAAGTGGTAGTAGAACATAAAGCTTCTGTTTCTAGCCCTGATCAGATGTAGCATCTCCTCTTACACCTTTGGTATAAGACTGAAAATTGAACCACAAAAACGTATCAGAACATCTCTTATATGTGAAGAGAGAAGAATTTGGTATTGAAGAATATTTATAGTTAATCTTTTAATTTACTTCGGGCAGGTGTGTTGAAAGTGTTCAGAAATTTAGCACTGTCTAGGTAAGTCCCAGTAAAGATTGGTTAGGAGGTGGGGTGCTGGCAGAGCTGTCAATGTGTGTGCTAATGTATCTTATCAGCTGGTGCTGTGACATAGCATATGCTTAGGGTCAGTGTTGCTGTGACACGAATGTATTATACATCATGGTAGATACCTATATGCAGTGTTGTAAGACCAGAATTTATGTGGAAAGTGTGGCTTTTTATTTAAGCCACAAAATAAAAATGAACAGTAAATTTATAGACAAACAAAGGGGAGGATGGGAGTAAGGAAGTGCATAAGTGCCACTATGTAAAGCTCGCTCTGCCTTTTAAGAATGCTGCTATTTTCATGTCTAGGTCAATCTTCATGTGTTTTCCTAGGTTAATGATCCAGGAAGTGAGTTCATTTTTGTTGTTGTTTGTGGCGTAACATTATCTAATCACCGTTAACAAATGAGATAATGGATCAGTAATTTTTTTGTTGCACATCGTGTTCAAGTTGCTTAGCAGTTGTGAGAAAAATTTAACTAAGGAAAATTTAAGCAATTATGACCCTATTTTCAAAAAATGTTAAAGCTCATACTGCGTGCGAGGGTTCAAACTGTAGCAGAAATCCTGTATACTCCCTACTGCACGTCAGAGAGATGAGGTTTGATATATACTAAGTTTACTTGGTTTTTATTTTAGATATGACAGTGATGGTTGGTGTCCACCTTTGCCAGTTCAGACCTACCTACATCAGGGCATGGAGGATGAGCTTGAAGAAGACGATGATCGTGTTCCCACACCTCCTGTCCGAGGAGTAGCTTCATCACCTGCAATCTCCTTTGGGCAACAGTCAACTGCAACCCTCACGCCCTCTCCACGAGAGGAGATGCAGCCAATGCTTCAAGCCCACCTTGATGAATTAACTAGGGCTTACCAGTTTGATATAGCAAAGCAGACATGGTAAATGTTTGAAGGGGGGACCTGCGGTCTGGGAAATGAAAGCACAATAATAATTTATTCTTTGATGACATAAATATCGACTGTGTTCAACAACATTTCAGTAATGTTTCTAAGTAGTAAAATGGAAGAAGAAATAGCAAAACAGTATCTACAGTGGGAAGGCCTTAAACATTAGTAGGTGCTTTTTAAATCATAATGCTTGGTAATATGTTAAATTTAAATAATATTCCTCTGGAGTTTTGCATATATTCAACTAAGTAGTTAACACCCACCTACTGACAACTTCTATACAGTTCAGGCTAGCAAAAGATACAAATTTTTTAGGATTTTCAAAAATATTAAGGTTCTAAATTCCTGATTAAAAATAATGCTAGTCACCTGAAATAGCAATGTAGCAGTTTATGCCCTGTGTCACATGAGAATGAAGCATTTGAATCTCTGACTGTAGTTTGAAATACCATGAAAATTTCTGATTCATAGGGAAAAACCCAGAAATAGCAGGAAGGAAGTTATTAGAATTTACAAAATGGATCTAGCATTTTAGTGTGCTTTATGCCTATTTAAAGGAAGAGCAAGCAAATACCACAGTAACATTTCCCCTGCAAAACAAACAGAAGCAATCTCTTCAGGGACTGAAAAAGAACTTGTCAACCGCACCAGACTGGGGACACGGTGAAGGTCAGTTGCTTTCTGGATGTTCCCTAAGCGGCGGTTGTCCTTTTACAACTTTTCTATCCAGACAAAGCCCGCGAATCTCGGAGGAGAGGAGCAGAGCTAGTTACTGAATGGCACGCTGCCAGCGGAGGAGCAGCCTTTCTTCGCTGGTAAATAAAGCCACAAAGTTATTCAGCTTGAGCTACCATAAATAGATCAGGCAGGTAGGCAGACGGTGCCAAATCAAAGCCAGCTGTTTTCCCTGGACACTGTCGAAGCCTCGAGGCTTGTCTGCAATCTGCACACAAGCAACAGGGTACTTTGGTCCCGCTGCAGTGCCACGCTGCCAAGCACGGACCCCGGCCTGCCTGTGGGACAAACCCAAATCCCAGGCAGCAGCTAGATCTGGCCTATTGAAGGTAGCTGACTTCTGAGCCAGCACACAGATGCATACCCTGTCTGCGCAGTCAATTGCTGCTGCATTTTGCAGCTGTTACCCTTTCTACGCCCTACAAGCCGTGGGTGCCAGTCTGGGAGCAGATAACATAGTAGGACTCTGTAGCAAAGCCTCTTGCAGCTGACAGGAAAGGTCTTGTTCCCTTTTTGGAGCGATGAAAATTGATTGGGAACTTTCATAATGTGCTTAGGAATATAGAGATTTTAACATCACTCTTGTGTAAGGTCACAATAATTGAGCCTGAGACTCTGGAAAAAAAATAGAGGAGATAACCTGTGTTTTCTTACTAGGACCTTATAGCAGGTATTAGGGTAAATATTGAAAGTTGCAAATACAAATGATTTTCGCAGTAGTTGTGATATGGAATTGTTTAATGCTTTGATATTGTTTGGCTGGACAGATAGCATGCTGTTCAGCAAACGCTGTTCAAAGTCAGTGGAAAAGTCCTCCGTTGTCTTAAGTGGGAAGGAAGATTTCTTAGTTTTCTTTTCACAAAGTTAACCTGTCCAGTGTAGAGGGGGGAAAACAAAAGAACAAGATGAGACCTGTCAGATAACTTACTGTAGGAGTTACAGAAGAGAAATATAGAGAGCAGCCAACTAGAAATTTAAGAAAGAGCACATTAGAGATTAGTGGAACAGTACATAATCATTATGGCCTTGATCCAGCAAATCACTTAAGTATATGCTTAACTACAAGTACATGAGAAATTGACTTCAATTGTTCTATCACATGCTTATCATTAAGCATATACTTAAGTATTTTTCTTGATTGGGAGCTAATCACACTGTTTATTGAGGGTTAGTTAGATGGTAGTGCCCTTTAGCTCAGTGTTCTGAACACTGCATAGCTAAGAACCTGGTGTCCAGGCAGAAAAGTATTCAAGAACTGCTAATCAGAAGGGGGGTGTGTATCAGAAGGGAAGCATTTGTTCTGCAAATAAGCTTCAGAATAAGCAATAATTTAAAACCTACACCAAGGTGGAGAGAGATTCCAGTCATCCATAACATTTACCGTGACATTCTCAGATCCGATAGATTTACATTGTGGGGGAAAAAAAAAAGTTTGTTTGAATAAAGAGAATTACTGCACTTATCAAGTGTAGGCAATAATACAGCACAGTGTTTTCCTTGAAAATATATTAGAGCTAGGTGACCAAACAGGTGACAGTTGTAATTTTTTCTGTTATGCTGCTGTCCAAGCAAGAGACCAGCAGAATCCTGGATCCCGTCCAGAGCACTGCCGATTCGAATCAGGCCATGGCACCTCATGAACAGCCACCCAAGGATTCCCACATGCCTAAGTTAGCAGTTTCAAGTGTGGTACATGCTCTTATGCCAAGGCCAGTCATGCCCGGGTCCCCTGGCACAGCTTGTTATGTACCTGTACTGCTGCAATGAAAGCTGATGGTTGTTCTTTTCGTCTCTAGCCTCTCAGAGACCATGCAAATGAAATTCAAACTCCCGTGCTTGCCTTTGGCCATTTAGCTATCCTGTGGGTGTTTTTTATCTTTGTTTTTCTTTTTTTAATTGTGATTGCTGCATGCAGTAATTTCACACATGCATGCCCTAATACTGCTACATTAAATCAATTAAACTACTTGGAATAAAGCAAAATAAAAAGGCCTCGCGGATAATGGGTTCATTGGACTTGAAAATTTCTTCTGTCCTACTGGTCATTTCCTCCTCTTTAGGGTGAGTTCTACTTAAGAGCACTGAGTCTGTTTAAGCAGGAGTGAAATTTAATTTTGGCTCGACGTGTGATTTGCAAGGTGGAATATTGGGTGAGACACTTATATGCTAGGTTGGGATTCAGAATTGTGCTTTTCTATGGACTTTCTACCTGATTTATATAGCTTCTGTGTACATCATTCCTCATCCGTAAAAAGACAATCTTGACCTTCCCCATCATACAGGAGGGGAAGTATATTTAAGACTGGAAAATGTGCAGGTATTCTAGTATTAGAAGCTATGGTGAATGACTGAACTGACTTTTCTTGAGTTTGACCTAACAAGCACATTTTGTAAATGTATTTTGGGACTTATTGAAAGGCTTATCTTCTATTGACCATGGGGTACAAAGTCTCATCCATTCTGATGATGTTTTCCTGTTCGTTTGTGTAGGCACATCCAAAGCAATACACAACCTCCTCAGGCTCCAGTTCCTCCCCTAGGATATGTATCTGGAAACCTTATTTCAGATTTGGAGACAGATGTTCCAGATGATGATGATGATGAGGATGATATTGAAGAAGAAACTGTAGAAATCAGTAGGCCGCTAAGAGGTCTAGAGCATACTCCAGGCTCCAGCATGGACAATCTAGACAGCTCTGTGACAGGTAAACAAACACAGTTAACAGTGACGCCAACTTGTTCCTAACAGTAAAATACATTATCAATCAAACACTTTCTAAATGAAAATTTATTCCACTCTATTTCTGTAACATTTAAAATGTGTTAATATTAAACACTGAAGTTAAAGAAGGATTTGAAAATACTTTGCTTTGCTGCAAAATGATAAGAAATTTCATGAATTTTAAAAAGCTTTAAAGACTTGAAAGAAAACTCAATTATATCCTAGCTTTCATGAAAAGTTCACTCTACTGGAGAAGCAAGCCAGTTACATAAAAAGGAGGGGGAAGACCTCAGCTTAGGAATATATATTTCTTAAATCAGGAGCAGGATAAAAATGTTATCTTAAAGCACTTTTAGATATTTTGCTGGGTAAACGTTTTCACAGATGAACACAGGGAAGTTAGAAGACTTCAGAATAAGCATAGTTAGCACAACATTTATTTGTAGAGTAAATACAACATTTTTGTAGGAAAATGTGTATTTTGAACCTACTTTGTATTACTGAATTTAGTAATTGTTCCCTTTCAGTGAAGATATTTAGTTATTCTGATACTCCTTCCTTCACTGCTTCTCGCCCTTTGCATGACTTGGAAGGACACCACAGGGATCATCAAAGGGGACCTAGAAAGGCATGCTAAACTAATGCACAGAATCTGAATGAATAAAATTGCTGTTGATTAAATGTAGGCAGTGAAAGATATTTTTTGAAAAATACAGATTTTATATGGACATAATGTACTTTGTGTAAACACCAGTATATTTCCCTTTAGGTCTCTTGGGCCTCTATATAATATACTGTATCCATAATGTACAGCTGTACTGGAGACCCAAATGTACATAGTGTTCATAGCTCATAAAAGCTACTGAGTGCTTCTTCAGTCTTTGATCTCAGCGGAAGAACACTGATTGTTAGTTGTACCTTAAGGGAGACTTGCTCAGTACAACTTACTACCATGGCACCACTGAATTTCATCCCTTTGATCTGGACCTTTGAAATTCCAAGGATTTTGCACCCTTACTTAAACATTGCTATTCTGACAACACTGCAGGAATATGACAGTGATGGAGCATCGATACCTATAATTTTCTTCCTTTTCCCTTGTTGAATTAAATAGTGTGTAGCTTAATCCCACTTTCCAGGTTTTCCTTCACTCTAGGGCCACACTGCTTGCCAGTCTAATTAAGATTTAAGAATTGTATCTCTGCTGCTGCGATTTGAAATCCAGATTCAACTAAGGCCGTAGAGTTAAAGTTTAAATCCCTGAGTTGAGAAGGTTAACTTACTAGTGCACGAGTATGTTAAGTCACTTCCCTTGAATTTCTAGTGTAATCTCCTTCAGGCTGTAATTCTGCATATTTTTGCATATCTCACTAATAGCTCAGAAGCCTTTCCATTAGGAATGCAGTAAGGATTTTTGCACTGGTAATACGGAAATAAATTAAAAAAACCCCAAAACATGTTGCTATATATTTTCTGCTTGGTATATGTTAATATGTGAATGTTGATATATCTGTAAATCAGAAGATGAATGTTTTCCACATTTACATTTTCACCGAATATTTTGGACCACCCTACCTAGTGCAAAGTAAGGAATAGCTGCATTTTTGCTCCAATTCATAGACTTCTATGCTTATTACAATTTATCCTTTTATGAATAACATTCAAGCTTGTTATAATAGTTATAAATCTTGTTTAATTATTGGAGTATTAAATGTTTAATTCCTGGAGTATTAAAAACTTCCTGATGTATTTTTTTTTGAAGAAATTGGGCAGAACCTGGTAATGTAGACTGGGAGTACTTAAGGTGATCTAAATGCACTCCCACTCATTTCCACCACTAACTTGATGTGGCCTCATCCAGCTGAAAATTGAGGGTTTTCTTTTTCTTATTTAATTACTACCTGGATCTGTTGCTTGAATCCAGCAAGCATCTGTATCTGTTTCTGGTAACTCTTCCAGGCTGCGTTTACTGGTGTTAAGGAGGGTATATAACAAACTGCATTCATTGTTTCTAAGTTGTTTCTCATTCTTTAATTTGATTGCTTTCAGAATACTGTAGAACAACTAAATTGTTCTTTCTTGCACTGAGAAAATATAAGCTACTTCTTTTCATAGGGCTTTTAGTGACTTAAACCAGCATTTTCCTAGGAATTTATATACCACGTTTTCACTTCTTTAAACATTATATTAAAAAATGGAGGCAAATGAGAACAGCTGACCTGGATGAAGCGATATTTCTGTACCTTTTGAAGTGTGTCCGGTGAGTTTGGTGTTTGTGAGAAATCTAAATTGACATCCCTCAGTCCAGACTTCCTCCGAATAGAGTTGCTGTACGATGAGCAAGGCGAGCTTCCTCACGCTGTACTGTTAGCATGCCTCAGCGATGACTTGAAGATACCCACTCTCGGAGTGGAATGGTGCTTTGTTCTTTATGGCTGAGCTGAGACCGAGGTTTTCATCCAACGCCAAATGTGGGATTCTCTGAGGGGAAACACTGGCGCTGTGTGAGCCGAGCTCAAACTGCTAAATTCCTCTGAAACCACAGTGTTGCTCCTTCAAACTGTTTAAAAGTCAGATTGTCTTCCAGGCTCATGAGTTTTAGTTACAGCTAACTGAAGATTCAGACAAGGATTTAATCTGCGCTATTAAGCTTTTCACTTAGCAGGTGGCAGAGACATAATGTTGACATGTATAATAAAGTGAAAAGAAAGGAGGAGTTCACAGTGACTCTATCTTAACATTTTTCAGATATTGCAAAGAAAACTCCAGGAGGGAGGTTTAGATTTGAACGTTTGTGGGATGGAATATGAAATTAAAGCCAAAGTTTTGCTTTGTTCGCAGCATGAGTTACTGATTCTGATTTAAAAAAAAAAAAGAAGAACAACTGAAAAGCAGCTGTAAAACTTCTGCTCACTTGACTTCTAATTCACAATTATTTAGGGTTATTTTTGCTTTCAGAGACACATTGAAATATATTTTTTCTTTTGCTTATGTTTAATGTTTGCCTTTATAATTAATTACTGTGCAGTTATGGCATGAATGGTCACGAAGAGTCTGTTATATTATTCTACTTTAATAGACTTAATTAATTGCATATGATGACTGTATAAGAAATTAATTTGCTTCTCACTGAAATCACTAAGAATAACACTAGGTTTTGTCAGATCAAAGTATTATGGTTTAGGGGGGTTTTTTGCCCTCTCCTTATCTTCTCCCCAGCACCACCAGTGAAGCTGGTAGTGAGAGCTGTTGTATCTTCAGTCCTGGTGCATTTTGACTGAGGGGAGAGATACACCCGTTAAATAGCATGGAAATTAGAACAAGCCCTTTTCTACCTAATTGATACAAACTGACTTAAGCAGAGAGGTATTCTTGTAAACAGTACCACTGCAAATGGATAACAAAATTATTTTCCGTTTCAATAGAATTATATAGATCTGAAATTACAAAGATCTCCATAGGTTGTACAGCTCAGCAGGGAAGAAAATCCCTTATTTGGTATGTTTTGGTCTTGATTAAAAGAATCACTGATCACTGTCTGTATGGTAAAAGTTGTTCATTCATTATGTTTGAGCACAAACGGAATAATTCTTGAAAACTACACAAAATCATTTTCATGAGCCATATTTTACCATGGCAGAGTTCAATATTTATATTTGTTTACTTAGGGACACCTATTGCAAAAGATTCTATTTTATAAGCAGTTAGACAGATTGCATTTAATAGGAAGAATGTGTTTCATGGATTAAATATGTGCTCAGAAAATAGGAAACTGCTACTTTTTGTATCTCATAAAAATGGTAATGCAACAATTAGCAGGGTCGTATTATAAAGCACAGACTTTACTCTAGCTTAATGGATCTAGGGATATGCATTCATCAGCAAGGATGGATTTAGCATAAAACGACATGTAAATGAATTGATGACTGATCATAAATTAATTTTAGTGCTGAAGAAGTAATAGAGACACAGCAAGATGCCACTTTATCATAGTATTTTACTGCTCAGCAACATTTGAGCAACTACTTAATGTTCTGTGTGCATTTCTTTTCTAACAGCTTGAATAAATTTGAGAAATTTTTGTGCCTTTCAGCAATATGGAAACCAAAAAATCTAGAAAGATTGAAAATGCAAACACAAATAAATTTGGTTAAGTGACATAAATTCATTTTTCATTAAATGTTTATGAAGGGCATTAATTATGGTTGGACTTGTGAAGTGCCAAATATGTATGTCTGATTTTTACCTCCTTTTGTTTAGTGTTTCCTGCCCCAAAATAAAAATTTTAAAACTTAAGGGTTTATTTCAGGTGTACACATTTAAATATTTAGGCATTTATGGTGAAGTATAATGTAAAGTATAAGACTATATCTAATTTTTGAAGTGCGATCGTATTTATATTCTGCATTCAGCCCCTTCTATTATTCTTTCCCATCCTAATAGTACAATGACTATTGCCGCATTTATTCCATCACTTCCACCAAAATCAGTGGACATTCTTTCTTTGTAATCATGACAGTAGTCAGATATATCCAAAAGAGGATAATGTCTTTCTCTTGTACAAAGGCTAAAGGAATTCTGTAACTGATACCAGCTGAAGTAGCATCAGTCCCCAGGGACTTCATCTGTACTTCACAAACCTAAGCAGTCTAACCCTGTTCCATCAAAAACCTGCAGAGGAGCAGGGGCTTAATATTAGCAGGCGCTTCCTTGTGAAGGAAAGCACATAAGCATATACATACAAGTCCCAGTGACATCATTTGTTAACTTTAGGCATGCCCATAGAGTTTGGTGCATACAGAAACGTATCTAATGGAATTTTCAAAAGTGTTAGGTTTGTTGTGGGCAGCTTTTACGTCACAAGTGCATTAGGGTGTTTTTTTTTTCCTAAAGTAAAGCAAGAGTACACTTTACAAAGGAAAATAGTATTTTTACTGCCTGTGAAATGCCACTAAAAGCAGTAGCATGCAGTCCACAAGAAGC